CGCATCGTTTATATTAACCCCGACGACAAGCATTTCATTTTATTAACATGTTTAATTTGACATACCAATAAGATATATATTTTTAAATTAACCGACTATACAATTTTATTTTAACAAAAATATAGTTAGCTGAATTCTATATAAATTTTATTAGTTCTGACAAAACATAATAAAGAAATGGATAGGCTTAAATTTAATACTCATAGAATCTATACTAATAATTGTGTTGTTAAGAATTTATATATCTCAATATCTTATTTATTTTATAATTTATATTAAGGAAATAAATAAGTATGAAGCTCAGCAAAGTAGTATATTATGTACCATTAATAGCTACCTTTTGAACGGGATGTAAGATCCCCGAGGCTCTACACTCTATAGTCTACACCGTGAAGGTATAATTACAACTGGTCTCGCTACCTTCTTCGGTAGAATTGTATCTTTTTGTGGACGGGTAATTTTGCTGTCAAGGACTAAGTACAGAAGGAGTTATTAGATTAAGTTTCTCGTTTGTTTAAACTTATAGTTAACTCAGTAGAACGCTGAGTGCGGCTAGTATTATAATTAACAAAGAATTAAAAATAGTGAATTGCGCGTTTTACACACATTTTTATATTAAATATTTTTTCAACTATATTTTAGTACTAATAGTATAGAATATATGTCGGCGCAGTTACCATTTTAATAATCAATAATTGAGGGTAGATAAATTGTGAAGTGTCGCTCACGTGACAACCTGTGCAAGTGAAGTCATAACAATGGCTGTTAGTCATTATAAATAGAGGCGAGTTACTGATTACAGATAGTCGTGCTGGAGCCGTCGCGGGGATCGAACCTCTTGGAAGTGAAACACCGTCCCACCGGCTGTGAGGGCTGTGAGGTTACCTTCGATAGCCTCAAGGGCTGACGACATTCGAGAACAAACCGCACTGGTGACGTCAGTTATGCTGACGTCACTCATTTTAAAAACCACGTTTTGGCATCTTCTCCGACATCAGAAGTGGGATCGTTCACTTCTGCTCGTCCATCTGATAATAATGGAATTTTTCTTCTATGTTTCAGAGCCCCTGTGGACCACGGACAAAAAGTCCTAGACCACAGCATCGACCTACCTCAATCCCTTAGAGCCTCTGTGGACCACGGAATAGAGGACCGCCCAGACCACAGCAACATCCTAAAAATTAAAATCCTTTGTGGAACCATCAGAAGTCAAGTGTACACCACAGATCTGGAGTGTTACCTCTGAGCTAATCACGTGTTACCCTCAAGCTAACCTCGTGTCCATGATGTATCCATATGAGAACCATGAGATTCTGTAGGGATGCCTTGTGAAGCCGTGAGGAGACATGTATGCACCAAAGAGTGATACCTCTGAGCTAATTACGTGCTATCCTTGAGCTAACCACAGGTCCTTGATGTATCCGTAAGAGAACCATGAGATAACGAGGGGACGCCTTGTGGAACCGTGAGGAGACCTGTATACACCGTAGATCTGGAGAGTGTTACATCTTTGAACTAATCATGTGCTACCCTTGAGCTAGCTCATAAGGATCAGTTTTTGTTTTTATTTCATTCTCAGGTGACCAGGGAATCTTAACCAAGAATGCAGGATGGTGCAGAGCGCGCACCAACTGTCAGAATGGCCGTGTCGGCGCAGTTACCATTTTAATAATCAATAATTGAGGGTAGATAAATTGTGAGGTGTCACTCACGTGACAACCTGTGCAAGTGAAGTCATAACAATGGCTGTTAGTCATTATAAATAGAGGCGAGTTACTGATTACAGATAGTCGTGCTGGAGCCGTCGCGGGGATCGAACCTCTTGGAAGTGAAACACCGTCCCACCGGCCGTGAGGGCTGTGAGGTTACCTTCGATAACCTCAAGGGCTGACGACATTCGAGAACAAACCGCACTGGTGACGTCAGTTATGCTGACGTCACTCATTTTAAAAAACCACGTTTTGGCTCCTTCTCCGACATATCTAATATATAAAATTCTCGTGTCACAGTTTTCGTGCCCATACTCCTCCGAAACAACCTGACCGATTTTGATGAAATTTTTTGTGCTTATTCGGTAGCTATGAGAATCGGCCAACATCTATTTTTCATCCCCCTAAATGTTAGGGGTAGTCCACCCCTAAATTTTTTTTATTTTTTAGACAAAATTTTTAATTACTATTTTTTTATGATACAACGTACAAAAATACATACAATCCTAAATTTTCACCCTTCTACGATCAACCCTTATTTTTTAATAGCTATTTTAGTAATTTAATCATTTTTCATCTCCGGTCGATAACTGATCAATCGTCATTTAATAAGTTATCCCCGCCAGATATCTACAGGTGTCACTTCTGACCCAGTAAACAGCACGGAGTAGGGATGAGAACGAAGCCGGTCTTCTGTTTCTCTCACACAATTAGACTTCTCTCACTCCCTACACAGTTGTCGGCCATCGTTATTGTTTGTGCATCAAGTGTAGTAGTAACGTTGACAATTATTATTTTGCTAGCTCAGTGTAACTCTCATATTAACTATTAATCATTCCTAATCACTTCAAAACACGGAGATTTATGGCTTTAATAGGTAAACTCCAAAAATATAAATAAAAAAACGTAACAGATATTTCTTGATTATAGGGCGAAACGAAGTTCGCCGGGTCTTCTAGTATAATATGAATATAGCAATAGAAAGTAAAATGACTAATAAATTTTCAATTCATTCAATATAGAAAACATTATCTAAATAGTAAATAGTAAAATTAATATAAAAAATTACTTAATTAATACACAAAAGCTTTAAGAATTTGCTCAACAAACCCAGCTGTAGTGATTCATTATATTGAGGTAGTCATGTGACTTATGACTTATGAGCTGTACAGTACTTGATACTCGTATGTTTTTAAAAGTAAAAATTGCATTCTGATACAGTGTACGGATTGTATTCTTTTAATGTTCTATTATTCTTATATTAAGAACTTGCTTATACGTTTCTCTTCGTCTGCATTGACGTTGGAATTGCGTCCGGAAAAAAATATACTGCACTTAAAAAGTTGTAATTATTATTGCATTAAACCGGCAGTACTATTTAGTTTGTGCAGTTTGTGTATTATTTTAGAATACAGAACTGACATAGTACTCTCGCGAAAATTCCTAGTTTAGAGATATGTAATTATATACATTTACCTATTACATATATAACATATTTACATCTTGAATTAAAATATATATATTTTGTCACTCCAAAATCATACAATTTTCTTATTTCTTAAACAAATATTCTATCAATATTACATCTTAAAGTTGAATAAATATTTAAACTGTAATTTAATTTAAGTTTCAACAAAAATGTAATACTAGAAAAAATAAATGCATTAATATATTACGAATGAAATACAAAAATGTTTTATATATCATGAATAAAATCCTCGTATATTTTCTGTTCTTTGTTTTATGTTCACATATTTTTATATTTTTTTATCCAATACAATATTTACGGGTTAAATATTCTAAAGTTCAACGGCCGGTAAATTGGATTGTCTAATCCCATTTTGCGTACATCAAGAAATCTGATTCCATATGTATAAAGGCATTATTTTCAAACAAATATAATAAAATAGGTAGAAGAAAAGATGAACAAATATCATCATTATGCTTACTAAATGTTTTATGGTCAGACTACATAAGGAGCGTTTGAGTTTTGTACTTACAAACTTTAAGTGTCAACGTAAGTTTAGGAATGAAAGTGCAAATTGAGGAAAAGAGACATTTAATTTTAATAATTTCAAGTGCATGCATTTTGAGTATACATAATATCGTAACAAAATTTTAATTGTTAAGTGTACTTATTATTGGTTTAAACGTAGTGATTATATTTATCATCTTTGAAGAAGGAAATATTGTGATATATAATAATTTTAAAATAAGTACATGAAACAAATACACATCATATATGTATTGTCATATAATATTTAGTGTAATATTATTAAGGCTTAGGTTTTCCCTATATATGTAACTAGGAAGAAAACAACATAGGAAATAAATATTTGTGCTTTCACATTTAAACTACTTTGTTGATTATTATTAATTAATTTATGTATAAAAAATATACAAAAATACATGAACGTTAAAAAATAACTGTCTCATTTGGAAAACACATCACTTAGGTGATTTTATTTTTTTTTATATTACGTATACACAAATGAAACAATTTATTGAAGGGAATTAGTTTAATATTTTTTTATATATTAATACGCATAAATCTTGTTAACAGGAATGTTTGATTGTTTATCTTTCTGTTAATAGTTTCTTCTAGAAGATATTTAAAATAACATTTATCCGTATCTGTGAATAATATTGCAATTTACTATCAGTAAGACACAAGCGAGCTTGTTGAATGGCTTGTTTGCATGTCAGATATCATATTTTAAAAACTAACCCGAACGAAGTTATGGTCGAAATACTTCCCTTTTAACGTTTGGGGATTTAAAGTAAAATCCTCTCTTTAATATTCACATACACTTCTATTAAACTAGGTATTGTAATTGTAAATTTAATGCATTGTTTTTATTATATCAGGTGCGAAAGTACATAATATGTTCATGATGCAAGTTCCCATTTCATGCAATTCTTCCAAGAGCATGATTTTCGGATTGCCTTGCTAAAGCAGAGTGCACATTGGATACGGACATCCTTACTTTTCATCCAATAATACAATATCTATTAAAAGAACAATCCGGTACCTAATACCCAATTTTATGCAAAACGCTTTCAAAGAATTTGAAATATCATTTGTAATCTGATGTAAAAGTGTGAATCCAGATCGAACACAATCTGTTCGGAATTTCCAATATGGAAGATCCTATAGGCTTATTACAAATTCCTCAGTAAAATTTGATCTTTATACACCTCCAGCGATTCCCAGTCAACCGCATTATAAGATATATTGAACTAAATTATATAGAAGTGCTTACCGTTTTTACATTATCTTTCGTAATAATAATGGACTCCTGTATTTTTAACAGTGAGGCGCATCTTTAGCAGCGGTTTAAAGTCTGATTGATGGCCACAAATTGATGGTAACGACTTTAAGCCTTTGATCGGTAAATTGCTGTTAAATGAATGATTTCTTACACCTTTTATATGTATCGATTCATTTAAAGTGTATGACGTATTGACTTTGTATATAATAATGTGTATTTTGTTTTCAGCTAACATCGAGTCTCTGCATGCTCCTACGGGCGGTACAGTGGAATTGCCATGTGACGTAACTCCTGCCCTTCCTGATGATAGAATGGGTCTCGTCATCTGGTACAAACAAGGGCACGACACTCCTATATATTCGTAAGTATAAACATTGAGTGTGGATTTAATAAGTGCCTTCGGCGATTCCATAAACATTTATGAAGGAATTTCTTCTTCTAATATGATTTCTATATTAAATGAAAGTTATCCAAAGATGATTCTGAAATTGTATAAAGGTTAAATTATTCTTAAATTTTGTTGATTAAATCGTAACGTAAACAAATAATCCGAATAATAAAACTGTATCAATAGTACTTTAAGTGAAGGTGAATTTAAAATTATATCTGAAAAGATACTGGGTTCCGTGAAAATATGTTTAGTACATGATGAATGTTTTAAAATTTACCAATTTATTTATTAAGTTTAATTTGTACTAACACTATATGGATCTACAATATGGTCTGAAATAAATTATTATTATTATTTTTTTTAAAATATTTGATAATATTATAAACCCAATACCAATACATTAAATATAAAGTCTTCTGTTATTTGTAGAAGCCTTAAAGGATAAATATCTATTGCTATGACATTTTATTCAGGTCATTTCAATAGGATTGGCTTTGGATCAACTGTGATCTAATTCTAACTTAACTTTAAAGAATGAAAATGATAGTTTGGATGGACTTTTTTTCATTATTTAAAAGTAATATTACTTCTTTATTATGCCCTCTTACAAACTGTTTCATCTTTAATCTTTATCTTATCAGAGTTAATGCTGTGAAAAGTAACGAGTTGTATATAGATCATATTATTTACATTGATATTGGTATCTGAAATAGATTTTCAGTTGTAGGAAGACTAAAAGACTTCTCGAGGAAACTGTCTATTGTTAAAAGAATTACGTTTATAACCCACGCAAGAAGAAGGGATATATAAAGTTAGCACCAATTTGTGGGTGTGTGTGTAGGTGTTTGTGGGTGTATGTGTGAGTTTTTCTGTGTACTTACGTGTATAAGTGTTTGTACCCGTCTGTGGCATCGTGGCTCTCAAACGAATCAACCAATTTCAATGCGTTTTCTTTCAATTGAAAGCCAATTTCGGCGACGTTTGGTTAATATTGGTCCATTACCTATGATTACTCGATTAAGGTCTTAACGTGCTTTATATATAAAGATGAAGGAAAATATTTTAAATCTTGTATGCCCGAATTATAAAAGAAATTTGATACTGAAATATATTGCTTTGTCTCTTAAATCCGTTATTGTATTAACTGTAATAGTCTGTGTACTTATAGCCACACAATGAGGGACCAAGTAAGACCAAATTACTTCCATAAAAATCATATGCATTTTTCATACAAAATACATTTCGAAGTCTAATACATAAAGTACATCAAAAGTCATAAAAATATATTATACTCTTATTATTAAACTTACAATAATGTTTATTTATATTAAGATTTCAGCTTATATATTGTATTATCAAATAACTATTAACTATAATGCTAGTTGCTTCTGATATTCAGTTCGCCACTCAATAACTCCTTAGTAAATTTATTATTAAACGGGGCTTAATATAATCGGATTATACCTACACATATATGTAGATAATTTATTTCAATTGTAAGCTTAAGTAACGTTGCATCTATATCTATATATCTATCAGTTAAGTATTACTTTCCAAGGATAGTTATTTCAAGATACAACACGGATCGTATTGGAGATTAATTGTGACTAAAATTTAGTGATTGATGTTATCTTAATGGAAGTGTCATTTTTTTAATACATGCTTATTGAATAACGCACGCAGATACACCCACACGCATACACATATATAAAAATGGTAAATAAGAAAAGTGAAAAAGATTAGAACTGAAATGTCTAATCGTAAAGCATTATTTGTACTTACTCAAGTAGAAAAGCATAACAAGAAGGGAAACTTAATTAAAATGTTTTTTCAATTCGTAATATTGATTACCTATCATTGGCATCAAAGAAAGATCAGGTTTCATATTGAATCTTATAACAAATTTCAATATTTAAGTTTAATTAAGCACGATCTCCTATGCTAGACTCTCTTGGGAGTGTGGCTAACCTGCGCAAACACAATGTCAAACCGACAAATCTGACCAATATTACCTTATATTAGTGTAAAACGAATGGATTCTCCAGCTTCATTCATCAGTATTAACAATATAAACCATGTATATATCTATATATAGGGATATAATATATGTATAAACATTACTTTGTTCGTTTATATATTTGTGCAATATAACTTATTTAGGTCGTATGTTTGTAGGAGTAAAATATGAATAGCATATATTGATAGAACTATCATTTATCCCTACATTTGATACGGAATGTCGTTATGTCCGTCGTATGTAATATGAAGTCATGTGACAGACACACTTCTACTCATTCCTTTCTAAACACAATACAATACACAAATCGAACAAAGTCACGGTCAAAAATTAGTTTAACTTAAAAGAAAGCTCAGAAAAATAGTGGGTTAAGTCTGAAGTTTTTTATAAGAAGATTTTATTTAATTTACAATATTATATATGTAAGCATTTAAATTGTTTGAGTGGAATCTTTCTAGTCAATGTTAAGGTAGATGTTCAACCATTTCAGCTGAAAGCTAAAATCTTGTATATAATCTCAACTTGATCCGACTTAGCATTATGTGCAAGTTGTAGGACTAGTTACTATTGATTTACTTAAACAATATGAAATTCAGACAGGACTTCTTAATAACTGAAAATATATTTCCAAGTATATCTAGAACAACACAAATAAATTACAATTTTAAACTTTTTAAAAAGAGTTCCTGTTTGAAAGCGCTAATACAAAAAAATTATGCACTTAAACAGTTTTTACTTGTTTTATAAGGTAAAATAAATTTTAGATTAATTTTTCATGTGTGAAAGTAAAGTAATAAATAAATTGATATAATTGATTTTTATTATTGAAAATTTTATCTAAAGCAAATACATACGAATACGTAAATAAATTTTTTCAAGAGGTTTTTCGTCTCTTTATAAAGGTTACCTTTCCTTAGGATATATTAGCTTACTAAATGAAACTAGTTTACTGCTAGTAAAGCTAAGTTTACTAGTTTACAACCTTAACATATGAATTAAATGTCGCTTCTGCCAAATAACTTATCAGAATCTTTACTTTAAACTCCAAACTTATAGACATTAAAAAGTATGTAAGACTGTACGATTTAAATTTAACAAAAAAGTTAATAGTCCGTATTCTACTTGAATTTATTTTAACATTACCTTGTTATATATTCTTTAATAATATATTAGTTAAGTATTATACAAAGGATTTAATTAAAACTTTACTTAAATATATACACATATGTATATATATTCAAGTTAGTAGTTTGTAGAAATAAAACCACTTTTTCATACATTTCTAAAAAAGATCAAAAAAAAAAATCTAATTAAGTAGATGAAAGTAGTTCCATCAAATTGTTTTGTTTCATTTAAAAAAACATAGTACATTAATAAATAGTAACTTTCCATTAACACCAATTTAGTGATTAATTTGAACTCTGTATACATAATTACATCAATACAAGTAATAGACCTACTAAAATATTAAAAAGATAGTCGACATGAAATAGACTTAATATAATAGAAACAATATCTATTATATAGATTAGACATTTCCTTAACTTTAGTCTTTTTTTTGGCAGACTTTAATAATATATGTACATATCGGATAAAATAACAGAACTTTTTTTGTTGCTCTAACCCTTAATTAAGTTTCCTTTTTATTAATGGCGTTTTTATGTAATAGAAAAAATCAAGAATAGTTTATTGTATATTTTTTATTTACCAAAAAAAATAATAATTAGAATATCTTTCGAAAAATGTGATGCACATAAGATAACTTATCTCTTAATACAAATCTCTGCCAGATACAATTTCGATTAAGGAAACAAGAACGGATATATCGGTGTATATACAAGCTATAAGTTCTAAAACTTTAACGAATACTTTTGGATTTTTCATCTTGTCTGCCCGTGATCACGGTTAATGCAAAGTTACTCAAACGACGGGAGTACGAAGTCTTAAATAATAAAAATCGCGTCGTACATTTGAAAACATTACTTTTATTCAAGTTATAAGTTCCTTAAAATGGATGGTAGTACTCTGAACTCCTTTAAAATGGTAGTACTCTGAAACTCTCAGTACAAGAGACGTGTTTTAATTTTACGTCAATTACCGCTATGATAGTCAGTTAACACGTTACGTATGTATGTATGTCTGTTTATAAAGATGCCCCAGTTCCTCTGACGCTTGTTCAAACAGTATTAGTTAGTCTTCATGCTCAGCTGCCTCTGTTTTGATTTGATCATTCATGGCGCTTGGTTTGTGTAAAGTTTATTCTGATATCAGATTTAGATATAATCCTCTCATGCCTTGAGGGATATTTTATCTCTAAGCCTGATCAAAATCAAGACTTCGCTTAACTCCTTAAAAGAGAATTAATTTTTGTTTGTATCAAAATTTTAATTCAACAAAAAGATTAACACAGCTTTATATTTAAGAACATTATAATAAATAAATGATATACATTTTAAAATTTATTGAGGTCAAGTATTACGTACACATGAATATTTGGGAACCATGTTCAGTGTGAGAGAAAATATTCGGAATGAAAAAAACTAGTTGAATATTTTTTAGGTTAAACAAATAAATTGTGCAATAAAATTCTGTGAGAGGAGAATGTAAATTGAGCATTTCATTCCTCACATGATACTTTCGCAAGACTTAACTTGTATCCTAGAAATGTGCCACCCATACAAATCTTAACAGACATTTCTGAAATTGGATGATATAAAATTGTGCTCTTTGTATCTTAAACAAGCTTTATTTTACTATTAATTATTGCCACTAAAACGTTATGAATACTATACAAATATCTTTTATATTAATATGTTATCAATAGTGTTGCCCAAATACAAGAAAAAAGACGAGAGTTGGCCAGCTTTGGTCTGTGTGTTGCATCAATACACTTTATCTTGCTAAAATTAAGTGGTCTTGGTTTGCAGAAATGCAAGATCAAGACCGATTTTGGGAACACTAGTTATCACTACTACTAATAATATATGTATATATTACAATTAAACAGTTTCCAAATTTACGCCTTGAAAATAGATAGTATAAGTAGAAGAACAAGATGTTAATAATAGGTTTTTCAGTTCTCAATAAGTATATTTTGGCGTAAATATTTGTATACAGCAAGAAATAAAAATAATTTTATACAATGGAAAGTCATGTTTTTGGTTACATACGTAGTTTTTAACAGTTGATTTGAAGTTGAAGCGAAGTTACCAAAGTACGTACGAGCTATGGAAAAAGTTTGGCGATAAATCAAACTGTGATCAGTTTCTATGTGAAAATATCGAAAAAACAAATGTAACAGAAACTTGTAAACTATGATTTATTTGACAGGATGGTAATATTTAAAACTTATATAAAGATTCTTACCTAGAAGGCTAGTGTTATGTATATATTTCTGATATTTTCTAATTTAGTAATACAAATCATTGATAAATAATTACGTTTCATTCGATAGATTTTTGTACTAAATTTAGAACGTGTACACAAAATATATTTCAAATACCTAGTGCAAGAGTTATTACACGACTTTTATTATAGAACAAAAGGCACTTTCATAATAGTTGTACCGTGTTGATATTGACAGTGAAAAATGTATCTGTAAATATCAAGTGTCCAAAAAACATTTGATATTTGAAACAGGCTGCTACAAATCACACTTCTAGTAGGCTATTTATTTATATATATGTATACACATACATCTATAAAACATTTGTATAGCTATAATAATTTAAATACTATACAATTAGTTAGTTAATATTTTTTTAATTCAATCTACAGAAAGGTTTGTGTTGAATTTTCAATTAATTTATTTCTTTTATTCAATCAAGTAAGAAATGTTATATGTCTTTATAATTCTTTGTCATATTCTTCTTTATATGTAAAATCAGCGTTAGCCAATGATTTCCGTTTCATAGACTATTATTAAGATACAAATGAATCTATCTTCTTGGGGTGTAATTTTATCGTCTCCTTACAATTAATAGCCGCCTAATTTCTCTTTAACAGGCAGTAGCTATCATTGGTGAATACAATAAATTATGAAATCATAATTCAAATACACAGAAATATGGCTCAATATTATCAATAAACTTAACATTACTCTTAACAATTTATATTTTTAATATATATAAAAGAAACCCGTGTTAGTTACATTATGTATAACTCAAGAATGATGAATGTATAAATTTTGCTGGAAATTTGTGGGGAAGTAGCTTACAACCAGGAGACGGGCATAGGATAATTAATTCTGTTCGATCGAAACTGAAAATAAAACTGAATAAACTCATATATTTGGTTATGGCCTCTAGGGCAAAATGGAGTTCTCCCGGTTAGCTATACATATATAACTAATTCCTAAATTAACGCGGACGAAGTCGCGGGAAAAAATTAGTACCTATGAAAAAAATGTAATTAATATCAAAATTAATTTTCTTAAATAGTTACAACAGTCCATGTATATAATGTATCATCAAATGTATTAAATTACACTGTATTTTAATTTTATTAATAAATTTGTATATATGACTAAATGTATATTTCAACTACATAAATAGTTTCATTAGATTACTATTAATTAATTATGGCATTAATGGCTTGCTTAGTATTTAATTGCATCTAATTGCTCAAATTAGTCAAGATTAACTTTGTCTGGAGATCCAAGATATTCGTCTTAGATTCAATAAGCTTTGGGTCAATCTAATATGGGTTTGTAATAATGTAAATGCACGCTTATAAATTATATGAATATTATTTTATGATTGTAGATCAAAATTTTTAATTCTTCGATAGTATTGGAATTAGAATTCTTGCAACATTACAAGTGACTTTTGGTTATGAAGATGTGAGCTGTAATAAAATGGTATTTGAATAGAACTTATACTTTTGGTTACTTTGTAAAAACCGTCGTCACGGACAGACAGACGGACAGACATGATTTTTTTTTATTATAGAGTGTGTAGTTTGAAATCGTAAGAAAACGCGTAGTAATCCGAAAATATTACTTTTTTTATATGAATACTAACTAAACTTTTCGATCTCATTAAATACTCTTTTGCCCTTATAACTATTTATTGAATTATTTTAAGTTAGTTTGTGGTTAAAAGGAGTTTCATAAAGTAAAGCAAGCTTAAGCTGGTACTACATGTAATATTTTGTTTAAACTTAACTATTACATTAAGTTGTTGAAACAGTATCTAAATAGGTTTCCCTTGCCTTCGCTTGGGTGCGTTTCAATGTTTAGTTTGGATCACCGATCAATCGTTTGATTTCCCGTGAAGGATTCAGTTTGACCAACTGTTGGGTAAATGTTATTTCATACTTGTGCCCACATATACCATACATCCATATAAGATTATACTTACTTTAATATGTAAAGAGGTGTATATAAATTTAAATATCAACATAATACTGAAATTATGTATGTATATTAAAAAAATAATAATAAGGTTACATTTACCTTGTATATGTTACTTATTTGTTAGATTATGCACTTTATATTGTTTTTATATATTTAGTTAATTTTATTACTCTATTTTGTCATACCTGTATCATTATATTATAAGTTTGATGTCTTTTTTGTTTATTGTTTAATACACTAAGGACAAAATATAAATGTATTGAGATGTCAATGTAATTGTGTGTTAACGACGATGAATTCCAGTGTACGGAAAAACCAATACTGGTTTATGAGACACTGAAAACTTAGATATAAATGTAAAAATACCAACATAATTGTAATAAATAAATAAATAAATATAATGTAAAATCCAAATTAATGAGATCTAAGATTTTCGCGAGTATTCATTTAAATGAAACTAATATTTTTCGACATCTCGTCTGCCCGTGATCACGGTTGCTGTAAAGTAACCCAGCCGTCGGGAGTATATAGTTTTTGATACGAATAAAAATCGCGTAGTACATCTGAAAAATATTAGTTTCATTTAAATACAAATTACGTTTCTCGACTTATACAAAACAAAATATGTTGAAGCAAACTTCTCATAAAGTTCAACAGTTAGCGATTCTAAAATTCAGCCCCAAAACCAACGCTATCAAATTCTTAGTAGCACATAAAAATGTTATTACGCCTTAACCGCCCTTACTGGGATATCCGAAGATATCGCATCCATGAAATTTTAACGTAAATCCATAAGAAAATTATTGTTCCCTAAAACTTTCTGTCTGAGGCGACCGAAATTCGCTCCAGAATTACTATGCTCAGATTATATGACACTTAATAGCTTTGTTATAAAAGTTATAATGGAATGAATATATAGATTACAAAATATATGTCCTAATACTCAAAAGTTTAGGTGTAAATCTGTATATCATTTTATATGTTTCTATAGAATATTTAATAACTATGCAATCATTTCACCATATGTGGATGCTTATAGATCTGTAATTACATCTTCAGTCTAGCCTGAGGCAAAATCTTATTGCTTTACAACAGATTACCAGTTACCATTCAATGTTTTTTTTTGTTAACGGTGTAAAAGATTTTTATTAATCTGATGGCGTGTTAAATATAAAACTAAAATAAATTTTTATTTAATACATATTAATTCCAGCAAAAAAATCTTAGTCTTCAAAAAGTATTTGAGGTTTGAAAAAGTTTGTTTTACATAATGAGATCTAAGATTTTCGCGAGTACACATTTAATGAAACTAATATTTTCGGATTTTACTTCACGTTTTATTTTAGAATCTACATACTCCCGACGTTTCGGCTACTTCTCAGATCACATCTCGTCTGCCCGTGATCACGGTTGCTGAACCAGATTATGTCAAAGGTCATCGTCTTGTAAAAATTTTGAACAAAACCGTCCATAAGGGACCATTATTAAGTAACGATCCCATTAAGTTTTAGATAGAATCAAATAACAAAAAAAAAATTGTCATCACAAATACATATCAATATCATTTGAATTCGTTAATCCCACAATACTTTCTATTACAAATCTTCAGATCACGGTCGCCTTTTAAGGCTTGATTAAGATATTAAAATGTCTGACAGTCGGTATGCGGGATAAGGGCCATAACACATGATTGGTTTATTGTAGAAAATTTCACTTTGACGTCTACCTTATATTATGATAATAAATAAATTCTAAATTGATGGTATAGTTTAAATGAGACTGCCACTTGTATTTAATGAATGTACAAACAATGTATAATGTATATATCAAAAAGTATATTCAAATATGAGAATATAATACATATTAGAATTCATTGCTTTTACTTAAATGACGAGTATCTAATTTCATTAAAATGATAACAAACAAGATAGTACGTTGTGTTCTTCTCCTAACATTGAAATATAACTGTCGGTTTGTTTGTAATGACAGCTGTGTTAGTTAACATGTGATATATATTTTATTTATGCTTATAACCCACACGTATCAATGAATAATGAATGCAAACTATTAACAATGTTACTTTACGATCTTCTAATAAGTGTTTATTACTTAACTACCGTTTAGTATTGGCTCGTTTAATTTTATTGATGTTTAAAACAAGCACATGAATACCATTGATTATTTAAAACTAAAGTAACTTTGGCGTAATTATAGTCCAAAAATGGTAAAAGGTAAATGTTTAAATAGAAGTATACGTAACTGTGGTTTAGTTTTAACAATTATATAACTGTCTTACTTCATTAATTATTTCTTAACAATTAAATAATCTTTTTATAAATAGTTATCTTTCAGAAGTTATGGATGTATAAACGATATGTATTTATATCGTCGTATTTATTGTCCTCAGGTTGGATAACCGGGAGGGTGTGACGTCACACTGGTCGGATCCTACTACTCTTGGCTCCAGGGCCACCTTCCGCACCAGCACAACGCCTGCTGTGCTGCTTCTAACAAAACTTAGGTAAATATATACAAGACGAAACTTCTCAGCATTCTATGGTTTCACCGTGCGGGTGTCGGGTCCATCGTTGTAGTGAGAGGAGCTTCAACAGTGCCTGGTACTTGCGACCCAGCTGTAGGTTTAAGGGGCCATTATCTAACGCGTGTTAAACGCCCACTGTCCAAGCTCCCCTCTCTTCTTAACCAAATTGGAAAAGAACCTACTAGGGCTGCCTTCGAAGTACGTTCCAAGAATGCATTAATGTGATAAGTGAGTAAAACGATTTGTGAAGAAATGTATACGCTTGTGTGTATTTTTATTCGGTACTGTTATAAATATGTTTGAAATAATTATTATATTCTTGATATGTAATTTTGATTCTTATACTAATAGATATTCAAAATTTACGACGAAATATATAAATAATAGTTTATTTAATAGGTAATAACACATGCCTAATTCTGATAGCATAATAAAAACTCAATTATATAAATATATTATCTCGTTGACGCTACTTAAGTATTGTACAAAAAATTTTTTGTTTTAAAATAATTACCTAGAGAGATTAGGTGCTTTGAAAATTTATTTTACACTATAATTGAGTAATTGAAAAGAATATATATTTTTAAATGATTATGAAATTTTTTGAAGATATATTTGATATATATAAATATTTTATTATTAATAATAATAGGTACATAAGTAAATATTTTTCAACAGTCAAGAGTGTAACGTCTTTTCTATCGACGTTTAATTAAAGTATGTAGTATACGTAGTTTATGTTTATATATTTATAAATTTATTAAAAGTATTAAAAACTGTAAAATTTTATAAAAAATTGTATTTGTAAAGTTACTACAGTTTTCCGATTATCTTAAAATTTATTTCATGACATATAATTATATATATTTAACTAAAAACTGTAAAATTTTATAAAAAATTGTATTTGTAAAGTTACTACAGTTTTCCGATTATCTTAAAATTTATTTCATGACATATAATTATATATATTTAACTAAAAACTGTAAAATTTTATAAAAAATTGTATTTGTAAAGTTACTACAGTTTTCCGATTATCTTAAAATTTATTTCATGACATATAATTATATATATTTAACTAAAAACTGTAAAATTTTATAAAAAATTGTATTTGTAAAGTTACTACAGTTTTCCGATTATCTTAAAATTTATTTCATGACATATAATTATATATATTTAACTAAAAACTGTAAAATTTTATAAAAAATTGTATTTGTAAAGTTACTACAGTTTTCCGATTATCTTAAAATTTATTTCATGACATATAATTATATATATTTAACTAAAAACTGTAAAATTTTATAAAAAATTGTATTTGTAAAGTTACTACAGTTTTCCGATTATCTTAAAATTTATTTCATGACATATAATTATATATATTTAACTAAAAACTGTAAAATTTTATAAAAAATTGTATTTGTAAAGTTACTACAGTTTTCCGATTATCTTAAAATTTATTTCATGACAGATAATTATATATATTTAACTCCCACCTATAAATTAATGAGAAATAACATTACAATCAGAGATAAAACATTAGGAATTAGTTAATACTTTTCCGGTATTTATATGTAAACTAGCTTTTGCCTCGACTTCGTCCGCGTGGAATAGTGACTTCCGGCAGACTTTTGGTTCTTCCCACATAGTTCCCGTTCTTGCGGGGTTTTCGGAATTGTCGAGTTCCCGTAGAATTTTCAAGATAAAACCTATGTTTTTTTTTATTCACAATGAAGTACTCTTAACCAACAACATATTTATTTTTTTATTTGAATAAAAATTAATATTATTATGCTGATACAACTTAAATTATTTCGACCAAATTAGGTACCAGAAAAACGGTTTTTGTGAGTTAATCTTAAAAGATAGACATATACTGTCGCGGACTGTTTTTTAGATCATTAAAAGAGCTATTATTCTTTAATACATATTTTTTGTGTATCTGGAACCGTCTTCACGGCGCACGCAACGGAAGCCTTCAAAGATGAAATAATTTCTCCCGTTTTTTACACATTTACCACTTTATATTTGCTCCTATTGGTCGTAGCGTGATGTTATATAGCCCACAGCCTTCCTCGATAACTGTACTATCCAACACAAAGAATTATTCAATTCGAACCAGTAGTTTCGGAGATTAGCGCTTTCAAACAAACAAACAAACTCTTCAGCTTTATATGTAATATTAGTATAGATGTTCCGTAATAGTTAGATATGGTAGATGTATTATGGTATACGGAACGAAGCACCGTACTTCGCGTTAATTTATGGATTAAACGCCCAGTGTGCGGAATGGGCTCTGGCTATGCGTGCCTACTGCCTAGTTTTAAGTTATATTTTATAAACGGATTTGATAATTCAACACCAATAGTGTCATATTGAAGCTTTAAAAACCATATTTGGAATTTAAAGAGATTAATTGACCTATCTTTATTTAATTTTAGTTTTGAATGTTTACGTAACGAACAAAAAAAAAATATAAAAATTTTCGCATTTTAATATCAGCTATATAGAATTTCTTTAATGTAGTTTTTGTTTACAAAGTAAAATAATACGTTTATTTTGCAACATTTCGTTTGAAGTGCTTTAGTTCGCTTTGAAATATAATCTGGTCTCACAACGGGATCGGTTCTTGTATACAAAAGTAAATTTATATAAACGCCTATAAACCCTTGTACACATGAATGATATTTATTGTTGTATTATAAAAATAAATTCTTCCTTACATAATGTATACTTAAAAATATTTTATCACATAATGATACTAATACTTTCAATTTACTACGTGATTTTTTGTTTTTGACTATAAACTACATACTCCCGACGTTTCGGCTACTTTACAGTAACCGTGATCACGGGCAGACGAGATGTGACTGTCTGTCAGTCAGTCTTGTTTTTTTTATCACAACTTTCGTCATTGACTCATCTTGTATAATTATAATAGTATTACATTCTTTTTCTACTTTAATTTTTTTTTTACATTTAAAAAGATCGAGAAAAGATTTAACTGAAAAAAAAAACTCGGCAGAGATTTCGTTTATTATTAAAACTTTGTTAAGCTTTTTTGAGATTATGTTAAAATAATTTGTTGTCAAACAACACAATAAATTTCGATCTAAGTATTTTATCTATTAATTAAGATCTTAAATATCTTGATCATTTCAAAAATATTAAATATAGTTTTGCTCGTATATGGATTATGGAAGCAGTTGATTTGAAAGATGTGTAAAATAAATACTTTCTTTAGCCGAGTGAGATTCCTTAAAAATTGTCAGCTTTATTTTAAAAGGTCTTTTTTATCTCTATAGTCAATTTTATTTCATTTGGTTCAGATGTATATTGATTTTATAACTCAACAGCAATATTATATTAATTATTTCAAGTATTTGGTATACATATATAAGGTTTCTGATATAATTAATGTAATGTTCATACATATACTTAAAGTACATACATACACTTAATACAAAATGAACATATTAATACTTAAAATTAATTAATTTTCTTAATTAAACAAATTCAATATACTTTTAAAATCTCTTTATTCTTCACAGTTATGTATGATACTAATTTCTTAAACAAATAATGAATATAATAAAATTCATATAAATATAAATATATACCTCACAACCTATTTTTCTATGTGTGTGTGTTTGTATATGTGTGTTATACAGTATCGTATTGTGAAATATTTAACCTTTACAGTGCTAGTTTATTTTCATATATTTGATGTTTAATAATAAATCCCTTGCTTAGAATGTATTTTTTGATAATTATATTACAGTGGATATTAAAATATGTTTCCCAATATGATATATACAAATAAATTAAATAATATAAATCCATTAATCAATAACTACCATTCTAACGTCGTGTTTAATGAAACATAAATAATATTTTATTTATTAGAAATAACAAGAAACCAAACAACTATTAAATATAGAGATATTTGTTTTTAGTTAAATGTACCTCGTAAAGTATTTAATAACTTTCATAGAACGGGAAATTTGAAATGAAATATGCTAATTTTAATGCTAAGCTGAAATAGAGAAAAAAGTGCTGAAGTTTAATTAATATGGAGCTGATAAACTAACGTTGTCTTTATCCAATAATAGTAGAAGTTAGCTATTTACTTTCAAATTTCAATAAGTGAGTGTTGGAAATAAAACTTTTACTTTCGTCGTCGTATAAATATTTATAAAGCTATATATGTACATATATCAATAATGCATTAAAAAATGTATATTTAAGATTTAGTACATATAGCTACTTGTTAAAATTTTTATCTTTTTAAGCAATGAGACGATTTCATGATTATAAATTACAATATTTATTAAAATAACATCTTTTTTTGTTCAATACAAGCAAATACTTTCTTATGGAGACCCAGAAGTATCGTTTTATTCGCAAATACATCATTTTGAAATAAATTTTCGCTATTGCGTTGCAAATTAATAACTGACCTTGACTGTAGCCTAGAATTTGTGGCGACTTTTTATCCCTTACTTATGTTAGATATGTCAAGTATATTAAATGAAATGGGCAGACGAGATGACCATCTGCCTGTGACCACAGTTGCTGCAAAGTAACCTACACGTCGGGATTATGTATTTTAAAATAATAAAATTCGCGTAGTAATACGAATGATATTGGTTTCATTTAAATGAAGTACATATGTAGTCTTGATATACTTATATATTATATAAGTATGAAACCAAAAACTTTACAATAACTGTCCTATATTTAGACACTAACGAGAACTTCAATTACAAATAGTCTATAATAGCAAAGTTATATTATAAAATAGACTGAAAACTTACACGTAAAGATATAATTAAAGTATTCTATTAAATACAAATTAATATTATATATTTTTGTTTAAACTATTGTCTGAAGTTTCATCGTAATTATAACTAAAATATTCTGAAACTGTCCAAAAGGCTTATAAATTATTTGAGACTGATATCGTCTTTCAAAGGCATTCATATTGGAAAGTGATTATACTTCAAACCCTTATGAAATAGTATAATTACACCTTATCTATGATTACGAAATATTATACCACCTAAGAGTTCAATATTCCCATTTTAATATTCAATATTCTCTCATTTTCAATTTATTTTCCCCGTAGGCGTAATTAGAGTGGTAAAATTGAAAAGCGTAAAACCTCTTTTATGTTAGTTCTTTTAAAATAAAATTGCGTTCAGTTCAACCATTTTCAATTACTGAATTAGCTCACATTTTCCTTTGTTACACAAATTAATAGAAAAATCTCTATTTAATCTTGCAGCTTAAATATTTTTTTACCAATATAATATTAATAGTTAAGTTTATAGACAAAAATTAACATATACATATTAAATCGCTTTTTTATTTATATGCACATTTAATTTTTGCTTTTTAAAGCTAATGATTTAAAATTAAACTTTGATTTAAAGTTCGTCCGGTCAATAACTTAATTACTTAGTAACTTTATGGCGTTTCACGTTTATTTTTATGGGAATCAGTCTTACTGGTTTTGAAACATCTGTTCCTTTTACCAGGCCTCGAAGATGACTGGATAAAACCTGGCCTTAAATATATATTGAGATATTTTTATATTTATTCAATGTTTTTACTAAAGTTTTTTTAAAATAATTTATTACTAGATAGCCACTTTCTTCTCCTCTGCCGCGAGCAGAGGAGAAGAAAGTCACTGTTGCTGTAAAGGATTCGAAAAACTTATTTTCCTTCAAATTAATACACGAGAAATTCTTAGATATCATAATACATACATACATATTTTATTACCACTGATACAATTTCGAGTCTATATCTCTTTAATAACAAAATTATACCTCTATTAAATTATCAGTTTTACCATTTTTGAATGAAAAATAAATACTTGGTATTTAAATGCTTAAACATTTATATGTAAAAGTATATAGAACATTTTTATTTAGCTTTGTTTGTATTGAAATTTAAATGTAGTAATCAAATAATAAAGCATTCATTTTGCTAAATAACTCAGCTCGTTTTTAAATGAAATTAGTTCTGGTTATAATGTATTTTATATTTTATTTGATGCTATAACAGACATTTCACCTAATAGTAGGGGAGCCCAAGAGGGGATTTCGGGATTTACTAAAGCGCGGCAGATTAATATACAGGGGGATACCTTGTACCCAGTTAAGTACCTCCACAAAACATGAGGCCCATATGTAAAGCCGCCCGTGAAGGATACAGGATCAGATTAGTAAAAAAAAATTGACCATCAGAAATTCTCGAGCGCGTCAGATTAAGGTAGGGTGAGTTTATTACACCCTAAAAAGTGTATATTCCACTAATCTGACAATTTGAGAGTGACGAAAAAAAAGGGGAGGGCAACAAAGTTGTAAAAAAAAAAACGTCATCTCGACAATCTCGAGCGAAGCTGATTTTTTTTTTATTTTGAAGGAAATAATTCAAGAATAATGAAAAATATATAATCTGACGATTTCCACAAGCCGAAATAACAAAAATTCGTCGATAAAGTTAAATGCTTGCAGCTGCGTGATGCCTACATTTCCTTCTCCGCGTTTCTATTCCTCTCTCACTCTTTCTCTATCTATTACACTCTCACTCCGATCCCACTCTGGTTTATGTTAATTAAATTGTTTAATTGTAAAATTACTTATGAGGATGATAAAACTGCGTCGAATGCCGCCAACCGTGTGAAAATCGGTTGTTCCTTTCAAAATTTATTGCGGTTTGAAAATTCCAAAAATAGTGTTCTATGAAACTTCTGTCAAACTTTTGAGCTGGGAGAGCTCAAATGCATAGAAATATTATTTTTTTGAACTCAGCGCGCTCAAAATATCACATAACTTATATTTTAAGCTCAAAAATGTCATAAGTACAATTTTAAGCGCCCAGGAATGGAATTAGCGAGAAGTTGCAGGGATGGCCTTTAAGTTGAACCGTTTTTCAAATTTTTTTTAGTCAGATTAGGCGAATCCCTCTACATAATCGTCAGATTATGAGACAGTACGTTTAGAACATAAATATTAACCATATATATCTTAATCTGACGCGCTTGAGTATTTCAAAATAGCGATTTTTTTTGCACATTATGAAAATGGCCACGAGATTGCGTCCCATCGAAATCGTCAGATTAGTGAATGAGAGCTTTTTTTTGGTGCACTTAACACTCCCTTAGAAAATCTGACGCGCTCGACAAAATTTTTTTTTTTGTTCATTTTCAACCCTTAAATACAACCACCCGCATCATTCAAACGATCAGATTAACATACGTACATTATTAAACATACGTAGGGCATTGATGCTATCAATATCTGACGCGCTCGAGGATGTCCATGCAACAGTTTTTTTTTACATATTTAAAAATCTATAGCCGCTTCCCCCACCGATGTAAAGGAATATATCATATAACATTTTTTTCTTCTTATCATCTAAGCTATGCATCCCAATAGGTCTCTACGACGCTCGAGTAAATCCCCATTTAGCATCGTGGGCTCCCCTACTATAACGTTGAATGACATTTTGCAACAGAGAGAAATTGCAGCCGCATTGCTAACAACATTATATAAAATTATATATTCGGTAATACAAATATTATTTTCCTTTTTAAATAACGTTAAACTAGTAAAGAAACTATTACAACTTGATACAACTAATCAAAGATGTATTGGAAATTATACATTATTGACTAATTATTTAATACCAATCATATATCTGTGATATTTGAACTCGAAACAGTGATATCACTATCGCAACCTCACTCTGTGTATTGATTTTTAATAACTTGAAATGGAGTCGGTAAAATTTTAATCACGAAACGAACTTGTGGCTTGCTGAGGCTTCATCCAATAAATTTATATTTATTTAAAACAGGAGTCCTGTGATGTTAAAAAAAGCAATATTATGCTCTATAATCTACATGATTAATGATTCTTTCTTCTATGTTTATAATGTCGTTTTATGAAGTGAGCGACATATTATACTGTTTTCGCAGAAAATATGGAGTATTACATTCAAAATTACTAGCGACATTATACTTATATACATTTTTATATGAGAAATTTTAAATTAATATTTATGATGCTATTATTGATAATAATAATTGATTTCTTAGTGGTATGTAATGAAATCATATAAACAAATTTTTAGTCACCTTATTACGATATTATTATTTTTGGATATGAAAATGTACTATCATCATAATAAATAAATGAGAATTGCTTGGTTTCCTTTTTTAGATCAGATCATACATAATAGATACAAGATTATTTTTAGAAAGTTTACGCAACACTTGAAGAAAATATTTTCTGATATATTTTCATGTTCAAATATGTATCTACTAACAAAATATTTGGCAAAGCAGATTGAAAACCGCACTTCAGCAAAACTTATCAGATTGTCTTTGATTGGTAATCTCCATTGTTCTTTTTGGAGTTTATTTGTATTCTCAATGTTTCAAGAAGCTAGAAGATTAATTCCACTAGACAAAATATCGAAGCGTTTCAACCTTGACAAAAATAGGTCAGCTAATAATATTGCTGAAGTTACCAATCTATTAATTATACATGACAATGTACAACCTGTTTAGATTAGATTGATCTCTAACCGTAAGATTGTGAATTTTAAATCAAGACTAACTTCTGACCCTCAATATTAAGTGATTGAAGTCAAGAAGTTGTAATAACTCGCCTAGAATCAAATTAAGTTAGGCTCGAGGAGAACTATATCATCGCATCTTCTCACGTTAAACTGCGTTGTCTTAAAAGTTTTATTCAATCTCTTTTAATACAGGAACGTTTCACCAGTAGATGATATTCATAAGATACATTTATGCAACATAAATCTTTGTTCGTAGCTTGCAACAAATTATTTTAAAGCTTAATTTGTTTTGTATAAAGTGCGATTTAAATCCATTAAGCCATTCCAGCTAAAAGCGATGACAAGGTATTTATTTTGTACAAATAAATTAGAATTAGAATATGATGTAGTTTTGAGACTAATTTTACTTAACAAGAGTTAAAATACTACTTCGATGGCTTAGAAGTAAGTCATGATCATTTGCGTATAATTTTTTTAAAACAAAAATAAAAAGAGAAAGAATAAAGAATTAGAATACCATCAATGGTTTATGACTAAAAAAATATATTTTTTTATATTTATAAGTCGGATTCAGAAGTAAACTTAATTATTTCACCTTAATGCACCAATGCTCAGTCAAAATACGTGAAACTCGTCATTCGGAAAAGGGGTCTTCTCTCGCGGGACGTCAAAATGAGTTGCTAATCTTTATCTATATAAAAATTTCGTGTCACGTGTTTGTCCGCGATGGACTCCGATACTACTAAACCGAATTTAAATTTGAATTGCATTCCGTGTGCATTTTGATCCAAATTGAAAGATATGATAGCTTACATCTCAATTTATAGTCACAACTCACAATATTATTTTATTGCAAATTAATTATTTGTCTATTAAAGAAAATTATTTGTCATTATTACAATTATCTGTTGACTAAGTATTCAATAGATGGCGCTATGTTATAAATACAAACTTCATATATGAGCGACTATTTAATACATAATAGCATAACCACTACGTGTTTCTGAGGCTAAGATATAACCTAATATATACATATATTTTCTTGATTATAGGGCGATACGAAGTTCGCCGAGTCTTCTAGTAATAAATATAAAACGAGACGTAATTTTTTTGACAGTTTCAAATTTCGTTGTGAAGTCAATTATATTCCTAATGCAAAATATTTTTACTTTAGACCTGAAGACAGTGGGCAGTACAGATGTCGTGTGGATTTCATCAGATCACCCACCAAGAATACGAGATTAAACCTCACTGTACTCAGTAAGTAATTTACACACAACCCGAAATTTATTAAAGTATTTTTTATTTATTTAATATCAATGTTTTATTATAACGAATCTCCCTTTAAATTTCTAAAATAAGAACGAACCGAAGCTCTGGTAGAAGCCGCTGATTACATTGGTTCAGTGAAAATACTAATTGCTTTATTTTATTCATTTCTCTTCCATTGTCATCTGCGAGATGAAAACTTAATTTCGTATTGCCCAAGGCTTAAATTTCAATAAACATTTTCTAACAGAAAATAATTCATCTTAGAAACATTTTAATTTGTGTGCAAACAAAGACATCTCATTTTCAGACAGTTGATTAGCCTTCTAATTGATTTTGAAGATATTGTTACATGTAAATTGTTTTTGAAACGAAACAAACGTTTGAAATGTTCAGAAATTAGATACTTCATAGAATTTTGTTTTAATTCTAATTAAATTAATTCATTATGAATTCCATTTAAAATTTTGATTATATAAAAATATATAATAGATTTATAAATGTATGTTTAAAGTAATCCTATATTGTATAGCAATACAGTCAAATTTTCAATGACGTAAACTGATAACCTAGTTGGAAAAACCTAACAAGTTTCTCGTAATCTTAATTTTCTATATAAATTATTAGATAGCGCATCAGAAACTCAAAGTTCACAGCTATGTTTGATCCGCAGTACCACCGGAACGTTTAATTATTCTAAATCAAGAAGGTGATGAGATCAAAGGCGGAGTACTCGGTCCATATGATGAGGGGACTGAAGTCAATCTAACTTGCGTTGCCGTTGGAGGTGAGTAACTTTCATAGATACTGTGGATCAGTTGCCTCACTGGCGATTTGTATTCGATATGCTAAATCTCATTTTATGATTGGTTCTATATATTCTCTTCAAACTTCGATAATACTGATGTTCTTGTTGCGAAGTTATACAAAATTCTAATCATAATTTTCGTATCAGAACAAACACGACGATAAACCTCAAACATTAATCGCTCCTGATTCTCTGGTGGTAATTAGAAAACAAATCAGGTTGTGGAGCATGCTTACAATAGGGGTCGGAAGGACCCACCGCTTGCTGAACTATTACCCATATGAATTAAACCAGAGCACCATTGTCTAAATTCGTTTTTACTCCCTTCCAAACGTCAATCACCTTCGTTTTAAGGATTCGTTTGACCTGACCTTTGTTTCTCTCACAACCCTAGGGTTTATGTCATTTTTTGACGCACTCAAAAGCAACCCTTTGTTTTACGGTTTTTATATCCCTATTCGCAGTTCATTTCCTGTTCCGTGAATTGTTTTATCTTTTCCCCTTTAAAAATTAGGCAACCGCATGTTTTGAGAGAAGCTTACAGCTTGCTTATTGTATTTTTAGGGTGCACATTGATTGGACTTCATTTAGATTTAAATTTGATTTACGATTTGACTGTATAGTTAAGTAGATTATAACAGAACAGAAAGTATCGACAGAAACTATGTCATAGATAATAAGTGTAGATAATAGTTTGTAGTTAATTATCCGTAGATACCACACACAAAAATAAATAATATCAAGTCTCGTATACTGAGAAATTTTCACCTTTTTTATTTCTGAATATGATCGCTAATAATGCTAAGTAAAAATTAAGCTTTAGATATTTTAATCACTGCAGAAAGTCTAAAGTTTCAAACAAAATATTTCATATATAAAATAGAGTTATACATTTTCTCTCAAACTATTATTTAAACACATTTCTTCTTAGAGCTATCAATTCTTTTATAACCAGTTCTCGTGTGATTAGGTCGGCCTCCAGCGAGGGTGTCTTGGTGGAAGTCACACGCACTCATGGCTAATTCAGAGGCGAGAGCCGCTGTTACATTCACGCTACAGAGGTCTGATTATGGAACCGATATCACGTGTCAGGTATGTATAATTAATAAATAGGATTAATATAAGTAATATAAATAAGATATGTATGAAAAACAAGACAATGAGCTATTTACTATGTTGTGGATGCCAATGGGCGACGGTACTACCTCCATTAGGTAGGCCGTCTGCTCGGTTTCCCCTTTAACATAAAGAAATATATTAACAAATCTTTGGATTGAATACTACAAGTACATAATTACGATCAGTTTGTCATACTAAACCTACAAGTTGACTGATATAATGGCAGACTTAGACCTTATTTTTACTTATTATTAAAACATTCTTGCTATAGTTCTATTGGTACTTATAAACGACAACTTTTAAATGCATATTTAAATTGTAAGAGCACTTACTATTAGTAAATATTAATAAATCTTCTTAGCTTTTCCGATCCTATATTGATATAACTTCATATTATGTTGTTTAATTCTTATCGATTTTTGCTTAGTACATATTTACGTCCGTTGCCAGTGATAAATACCAGCTAACGCCGTTGAAATCCGAATTTAATGACTGGATTTTATAAATGTTATTCAGAATATATCAAAATAAACATAGCTTCACGTCAACAAAATGAATACGTTTCTCTGTAGAGAATAAAAAAAGTGTTTTAATTACCGTCGTCATGCATTTCCGTGTTTTGAACACATTACTTAATGTTAGTCTCCAATTATTTATGAAACTTGATGTATTTCTCTGCCGGTAATTTTTTTTGTACAAAAATATGTACCTCATGTTATTATATAGCGCATCTGTAGATATTAAATATCGATTTGTTTGCTTATTTTTTTTATACACTCAAAGTAAAAATAACACGTTTATTATTACTTTTATTTTTAGCTTCAAAAGAAGTACATAACATATTTTTCCTTGATTTTGCTTTATACTTGTTAATATTAAAATCTTAGTTAAAATCAAATTATTATATTAATTGAGCTGCTTCTTTGTAGCAATATGGTTAAGTTTATATAGTTTTAATATTTGAACAAGTAAGGTTAAAAATATATGAAACATATCATTAATATTTTCTGTATTCAATGATAATACATTTATTATTACTTTAATACTATTATTGTTATTTTTTGCAGGCTGTTACTGATCCGACAATAACACCGCTCTCCGAGAATGTGTCCATCGACGTGAATCGTAAGTAAAATCTTTTTATAACATACATACATATAATATACAAAAACAACGGGTTCCTTTTCTTGCAAATAAAACAAAGATGTTATCTTGACATCAACAATAAAAACCATATAAGTATCAATTAGTGAACTAGAAATGATATCAGATTAATATATTTTTCTTATCGCGATATTTCCCCACATCTTGGCTATTAATCCACATGACAGGAAATCGTTTCTCTCTTTCTATAACAGACTTCTTTAGTATTTTTATCCCTTTCCAATGGACTTACCATGTCAATATCGTGACAGATCCATAATAATTGGTTTAGGGATAGTCCACAGAGTGTTTCCGCTATCCTTATTTTTATATACTTTCCTTACAATATATTTTGTTTTGACGAAAATCAATCGCGAGTGTCAAGTTTATATAGTAAATTGAATGATTGAAATATTCATTGGATGATTTCTTCTTGATGTATGATTTTAAATCACTGCATTCAATAATTTTTTTTATTATAATAGGTTTTATTTCTTTTTCGTACTGACAGAATTTGAAGTGGAAACAAATGAATCTGAAATAATATTCCGAAGGGATAACCATATCGGAGTATAAAAAGTAACACATTCCGTTGCGTTTATATTTATTAATGAATCAGTATTTTTAGTAATAAATCGTTTGATATAAACACCATAACTATGGACTTCCGATATCAAATAAATGAATAAATCGTTAAATTGGTATAAACAAAGATGTTTCTAAGAAATCTCTAGGCGCGGAATTATTCACCATCATAAATCTAAAGGACAATAATCAGGCCATTTATAACCCGCAAGATGTTAATCTGTGGAACTTTTTAATTGACAACTTGATATAGTTTACTGTTCTTTCCCTTTTCTATTGTTAAATATTGCTTTGGTGTTTTAATTTGGCTTTGTATCGGCGTCTTTAATTTTCTGGTTTGTTGATTTAATAGCGTAGAATTATTTCTAGCGCTGCGCTCGATTAAATTGTACCCATTTGTATCGAGTGAAAATATAAGTTAGGTGTGAACTAATTTATATATTTTTACGAGTGTTTATAGTATGTGTACAAGTATTTAGTGTAACAATGTGTACAAACTTTATTTTTGTACAAATTCCCAACAATGCGTGTATACAACTCGAACTGAAATTTTATTTATTCATGAAAAAGTCATTTCTATACAATCTAATTTCAGTAAAATTATGTTATTTTTAAATTAAAAACAACATTATTCACTTTTTCTATGTTGTCTTTGAAAAATTTCGAGTTTTTTTTCATATCAAACTTTTTGTGTATTATTGAAATGAACACTATTAAAATGAAGCAGATTTTAAGGTAATGAATTTTTTTCAAACAATACACTAGTATACCGCGTTCTCAAAGGCTTGTAATATTTCTCACAATGGATTTATTAAGGCATGCATGAAAGAATTTCATATTTAAATAATGTCACATATTAATATAATGAAATACTTTTGTAACTGTGTATCGGATTACAAGAGTTCCTTTTATCTGTTGAAATCTTTCGTTGGTTATTATAATAGAAAAACAGAGACTTGTTTGAAAAAATTTTCTTGCAAGAATCTGTTTCTCGGAATGTATTGAGATTCGATTTGAGTCTTAAAGTTCACAAATAAATAAAAAATTATATTTTCTTCAACTTCTTTTTCTGCTTATCCACAATATAATTCAAATCCCAGCTGTTTTAAGATAAATTTGTTTGTTAAGGCTGTCCTATTTCTTATATGTACAAAACAAGACAAATGACTCTGAGAGTTCTATTTTCTTTTGTTTTAGGATTATATACTCTATTGCTAAATTAATAAATACGGTTATGCTTTGAAAACTTTTGTAGTGCACACAATATTAACTTACACCTTGTAACTACCAGAAAAATTCGTGCAAATGGGCATATAGGAGGGTTGTTAACTTAGGACGAAATATATATATATATGTATATACGACGAAATATACACACACACACACACATATATATATATATATATATACATATGTGTATGTGTGTGTATTTGTTAACTTCTTAAGTTTCCGCGCATTATAGTAAAGACCATATTATCAATATGCCTAAATGAAACAAATAACGTGTATCAGAATATTCACAATCTAATATTTTTGTTCACACTTCGTCTTTATTGCAATGAAATAAAAGTATGTACCTATTCTGAACACCGCGGAGTTTTTGTCGTTGGAATTTCATATTCCTGTTCTATATAAAGTGTTATAGATATTTTTATAGTATTCCCTTATATACTTTTATCGATGAATAAAGTATTATCACATTTATTTTGTCTTTGTTTTAAGGACTAAGCCATTCATTATTCGTTTATTCGATAGTTCAATGAAGCAACATAATGGCTGAACATGTTTAAATATAAATCTTAGCATCATATTAGTATTTACTACTTTCTTAGTACAATTTCCACATACATTGGTACGTTGAATTTACCAATATGATAACTGTAATTTTTTAATATAAATATTTTTTCTTCATAACAGTATTTTCTATGTTCTTAATAGCATTTCCATACACATTTCTTTTCATCTAAATCAGTTACTTTATGAATATTTCCTTGTAATAATAATAGTTCTGTCACCTCAAAGACAATGGAATAAAAGTCCATATTTGTATTTATTAACTCAGCCTTATGAGTCATTATTTAAGACCTCTCCGACGATTGTGAGGTAAATTGAATTATAATGATTGCGGATGTGAGTTATCGTACCTCCTAGTGATCATTTTTACTCATTACAGATATAAAATTTGAGAATGAGACTTACTCATCTTAATGACATATAGGAATTGTTGCACCTTTGATAAACCTTGTTCACCCATAAATAATGTAATTATACATAAATATCAAATACAAATTTCTGTATTGTAAAGTAATATTTATAAACAATTTATATTATTATACTTAATGTTTTAGTTTTTTCGCGTGTTTTAGAGTAATGGATATTTACTATTGATACTAATTACGGAATGAGGACAAATCGTTTATGTTTTAAATATCTTTAAAACTTATTGATCTTTAGTTATTTGTACTTTTTGATTAATTTATTATAGTTATATTAAACTTTCACAGATTTACGTGTATCGTCTTATTTCATAAATCAAACTAATTTAAGTTATGTTTGTTAATGATACAATTTCATTGTTAGTAACTTATTGACCCAATATACAGCTGTACCGCACAAAATAACATTATTATTATCATTAATATAGCAAAATTTTAAGAAGATAAAGATATATGCCTTGTTAAATTCTCATCTTTACCAGATATCCCAAAATATCCGAATCTTACTAAAATCTGTTTTATTTTTATCTTATTTTTTATTTAAGAATACTACATATGTACGTATTTAATTTTGATAAAATAAATATTTTTTTTGTGAATGATTTTTTGATAACAATATAAAAAAAGTAATTTTACTTTCTAGTATACAGTAATGAATTTTCACTGTTGATAGGATTTTAAAACAATTTTCAATTAAAATATTATTCAAAAATAATATAATGAAAGTTTGTTGTGTTCTAATTTGTTATTCAAACAACTGAATTGATTAACATATTCCCTATTGAATGAAAAATAAAAGTTTTTTTCATAAAGTTTTATAGGCAATATAAAGTTTATCACTTAATAAGTCTTACATTATACTTAGTCTAGTCCAAGAAGTAACAAAAGAAAGAAAATAAATTAAAAAATTAAACCGAGGAATCTTCTGTGTAAAGAAACAGTTCTTTTATTTAACTTCAGATTACTTCGAGAAGCCCCCTATTAAAAGTAGAAATTGTTCTATAATCTACCTTATAAGAATACGTTGTCAGAAAAGAAACGTTTTTTGAGACAAAAGATTCGCATTGGATGGTCTTTTAGCCTCGATTAAATCGGCTCAACAAAAGATACCTTTAATCCCTGATACAATTAAAGTATTATCCAAAATCTCTATTGTTGGAAGGTGTGAAGAATTTTGAGTGATTGTTTAAATTTACACTCAAGTTTTACTTATTTATGCTTAATTCCTAACACACTTTCTCCAAACATTTAATTTACATCTAACCAAAATCTACATCTTTGTTCCTTTTGAATGGACAACTCAAAATAAATTTTTAATATAGATAAATTTATTACAATATTGAATTACAAATTAATATCTATGTTATATGTAATCTTACAGAAAATATGTAATAAAACGTCTTCTTCATATTTCTTAATAGCATTGTGTATATTGAAGCATGTCGCCCCCAGTCACCGATCGAATTACATACTTGAATTGTTCTGTAACTTTAGTGGAAAATTTCTGGATAGCTACCTATTATTGAATGCTTGATGACTTTTAGGTAATATTGTTAAACATCTTGTCAATAATTCAATAAAATTTTTCAATATATATAAAGATTATTAAGGTTAAGCATTTAATTCTATGTATGTTTCGAAAATCTTAAATGTCCTCAATCTATACTTTTAATTTTTATTTACATTGAGAGACGTCAACTTAAGTGCTTTTTTAATAGTAACCATCATTTTTTTTTAAACAGCTATTATTGGGTCCGGCGCTTAGGGCCAATCACGCTTATAGGATCGAAAACCATATTTCAGCTGTGAAACGAACCCATTCAGAATAGGCTTACCATCAAATCTTATTGGAATCATTTGCGGTCCAATAGGAACCTAAATTGAACTGCAGCTTTTTTTTCTCTTAAGGTCGTTATATTCTCCGATGACGTTTGCAGCCTATTAAAAATGGGTCTATGTTATACTTTTATTTTTTGCCGTATAAAGGCTCTAATTATATATAAAAAGTCTGTTCAGTTTTTGTACATTAATAATAGACCTTGTTCTCTTTACAAGAATAGTTTTCTGTGGCCTAATTTTTATTTTATTTTAATTGATGCTGGACTAAAAATATCGATCCTTAAAATTTATACAAACCAAACTTCTTGTCGAAATATATTTATAAAGCCAGAAATCTAATAATATTCTTTTCTACTACTAATTAATTCGTATTATATAATTATTATAATTGATAGTTTTGAACAGCTAATTTGTAACTATTATTTGCTTTTACGTTAAAGCAAAACTGAAACTTAATTCTGAAGTCTGAAACTAGATAAAATACTTTGGAAATGTAGATGAGGGAGTTAACGGCATCTTGGTCTTAAACCTAGTTAGAAAATCAGGTTCATTCTCAACTTGTTACTCCTGAAATATAATATCCCAGTAAGACCACTGAAGCGTTAAGTTTTAAAACGTCCCGCATTACTCATTTATATCAAAATCTTCTTCGTGGTGTTTTAAAATTTTTTCATTCGCAATATCTTCGTTCTTTTAAATAAACTATCCAACTAAAATGCTATGCAAGCTAGGACTTTTTTTTTTTTTTTTTTTTTTTTTTCTACGAGGGGAATCTTTTAAAGACTTCCTGCCGCGGGGGAAACGCGACAGGGGCATGTGGGATTTCCACCCACTAAACCACCTCGACGTTCTCTGCGCTGTGCGTAGACTAGTGAGCGGGAACGGCAAGCCATACTTCCGCTCACTACGCACGAGTCCCGAAAGGGACTCCGCCATCGGCAGGGGTATCAGTGGCTGACCACACCACCCCTCCGACTCAAGAGCAGCGTGCCGGGAACGCCAAACACGCCGCTCTTCCTCTAGCCTATGTTACCCGGACGCCGGTTCCCCACCGACGCCCGGAGGCTTCCTCACTGGGGAGGCAGGTCGCGAGCATAAGCCCGCTGCCTTCGACCCAGCCTTCGTCGGCGCAGCGGCGCCGAGGAGGGGTCGTCTTCCCTCACTCGTTCAGCAGCCTCCTTCTGCAAGATGACTCTCTCGCTGAAGTCGGCCACCGCCTGCCATGCCCTCTCGCTGCCGACCATGGCCTGGACCACTGCCGGCAACGAAAGGTCTGCGCCAACCACGCGGATGAGTTGGCTACGCTCGGATATCCACGCTGGACATTCCATCAAGGTGTGGTCAGCGGTGTCTTCCACGCGACTGCAGTGGTGACACGTCGCTGTCGGCTCTCTCCCGACTATGTGGCACAAATACCTCCCGAAGCAACCGTGCCCCGAGAGGATCTGCACCAGCCGGAAGGTCAAGGATCCGTGTCGGCGGTCCACCCACTCCATGAGGAGCGGGCGAATAGCCTCCACGGTTCGCAACCCGGCCACTGGCTCAGAGAGCCTTTGCCTCCACCGATGGAACAAGGACGACCGCGCAGATCGTCGCCAACTATCCACCCGATCCCGGTCCGGACTCGTTCCCCGGGATCGATCTCGCGCGCGCTGGTGGTAAGCCTCCGCCAGAACCTGGGCATCCAGTTCCCAGGGAGGCGTCCCAGCCAGCACGCAAGCCGCCTCATGAGAGACAGTGCGGTATGCTCGTACCACCCTCACCGCCATGACGCGCTGCACTCTGTGCAGCGCAGCCACGTTCGGCCTTGTGAGGGCACCGACCCACACTGGAGCTCCGTACAGCGCCATTGAGCGTAAACACACCGGTGTATAAACGCCGGCATGCCACACTCGGACCGCCGAGATTGGGGAGAAGCCTCCCGAGAGCATTCGCCGTCCCGAGGAGTTTCGGGACTAACCCGCGAAAGTGCTCCCGGAAGTTCCACCTTCCGTCCAGAGTCAGCCCCAGATATTTCATCCGGGGACTGAGCTCGACGCGGACGCCGCGGATGGTGATGCAGGCGCCCGTCGGAGGTCCTGCTCGAGGGCGGTGGAACAGGAGGGCCTCGGTTTTGTCGAGACCCACCCTCAGCCCGAGCATCTCGATGCGCCGTACTACTAAGGCGGCTCCCGCCTCGGCACGCGCCTTCGCCTCTGCTAGGTCATCGCCTCGAGCTACAACGAGCGTGTCGTCCGCATAGCAGACGACGCTCAGCCCGGTTGGGAGGGCACCGCGATGCAAGCTAGGACTTCACTAACTTAAATTAACTCTGAATGCAATTCACGTAATAAACAAAGTTGTTGATTTGTGTCCACACTCCAACAAAGTTTCAATCAATCCTTCGGGACCACGCTCGTAATAATTGTTTGAGGAGCGATGATTGTATCTACTTTCCTCGCTTCAAATTCTGTAATCCCATGGTAGTTACAATACATTTCTTTTTATTGTTGCGGTTACTTAAAAAAAACTGATTTTAACAGAAATTTTAAGTACTTATTTATTTGGAGTGATAGTTTATAAACAACGTATAAAATAAAAAAATATTGCATTAATAATTACAAATCCTATATGTTTATAATAGTTTCTTTTATCATCAGTACGACCTCTATGGGTAAGGCTTTTAGGAGGCAAGCGACCTCTAGTGGCGGGGCAGAGTACTGAATTAGTCTGCCAAGCGGTTGGCGCGAGACCAAAACCTAACATATCATGGTGGAAAGGAGGCACAAGATTGAAGAATGTTAGAGAAACAGTAAGTTTACTTCAAGTACTTAAGCTGCAAGATTTATATTTAGACATTAGATGGTATACTAAACAAGACACAGCATATATATCTCATTTAAAGGAAGTCGTTATTTCCTAGAGGTTAAAGGTAAGTCTCTCATGCATGAGGGTGCAAAATTGAAACCTGGCATGTACCAATGTAATTTTTCTCGAGGTATATGTAACTATTTTCTTAGGGAATTTAGACACCATCGACAGACGGTGAAGGAAAATGTTATGAACCTGAACTTATAATTACAACATATAAGTTTGAAATGGCTATTCCACTTTGAGCAAGCGTGGTGATTAATGCTGTAACCTTCTCCATGTGAGAAGAGCTCTGCACTCAGAAGTGATCACCGATAGGGTGATGATGTTATTATATAAATATTAATTAGTTCTGCTTTTAAATTAACTTTAAATGAAGAGGTTTCATCACTGTGGAATCTTAATAGTCCATGTGCGATCAACCCATGGCTTATTAAACTTTGAAACTTGCTAATTGCTTTGGAGATTAAAAGAACTCTTAATTGTATCTCCTTAATTAATTCAATTAAACTTGAGTAAACTTCTCCCTTTCTGTTTGAACAGTATAATATTGAGTGTTTTTATATTTCGTTTCTTCTTATTAAATTTTATCCGTCGATATTACGAATTACTTTCATGTTTGTATCTGGAATAAGTGAAATTATTTCATTTGCGATGGTAATTATATTTTTTTAAATTACTGACGTATTGTTTTTCTGATATTTGAATTGTGGTACTTAATTAAACTAAGAAAATGCTTAAGAATTCTCTTATTTGAATTATATTAATTTTTTATACCAAAATGAGGCCCAATTTTAATTATCTTTATATAACTATATGGCTATGATACTAATATTGCAAGTAGCTTTTCTCTCGCATTTTTTAAGTTTACAATAATAAAATTATTCTGTATGAAGTTCTAAATTGATATAGTGAGATATTTGTTTATACAAAATGTTGTAGTCAGTGGTGGCCCAGTGGTTAAACGGCCCGTCTCTCGTTGCCGAGGGTGCGGGTTCGATCCTGGCCCGGGCAAGTACCAATGTGATTTTTCCGAGTCATATGTACTTTCTAAGACTATTTAAACATCACTGATTAATGTTGTTTCCCAAAAGAGGGTTGATATCAGGCAGGCGGCCGGTCGTAAAAACAAATAGCCAAAACGATACACAACATGTAAGGCAGACCCTGGCTATAGCTGGGAAGTTGCCAGGTAGAAGAAGAAGATTTGTGTATACAAAATGTTATTGTTGATAGACTTTGAAATTTTCAATCGGAATGTAAAGTGTTGCAGTTTAAAAACTCAAAAAGTCCAAAGTTAACTAGAATTCTGTTTAGATTGTAAACTATTTGGATTGGAACTAACACGGATGCATTTGCACATTTTTTTGTAACGATTTTTTTTACCAAATCTTTGGAGTGATGATACCTTAAAAGGTGGTAGAGCCTAGCTGTGGTGAGTTACTACAGCTCGAACATGGGCTGGCTCGACCGGGGAAGTACCACCCTCTCACAGAAGATCGGCGTGAAGTAGCCTTTACTGGCTGCGTTTCGTCTGATGAGTGAGAGAGCCGGTTGCCCTTTCCCTATTCCTACCCTTTCCTTTCATTTCCTTATTCCCACCCCTCCCTATCCCCAAAAAACAAGGTTGGCAACGCATCCGCAACAAAATGTTGCGGATGTCCATGGGCGACGGTAACCACCTTCCATCAAGTGGGCCGTCTGCTCGTTTGCCACCTTTCACATAAAAAAAAAAAAAAAAACCTACGTGTGTTCAAATTTCAAGGTTGTGAATATTGCAATTGTTTCTGTTGTGGCTTTACTTTAATTTAATCTCATTTTGATATTATACGTTTTACGGAATATTTAAAGTATGTTGATATTATCCAATTGGTCTACATTTTAATAAGTTTGATGGAATTATTTGACTTTACTTTTCTCCGACTAGATTTCATCTGATGGAAATGTCACCAGCAGTATTCTGACTTTTGTACCCTCAATCGATGATGCTGGACGGGTTTTATCATGCAGAGCCATACAACCACGTTTACCACACTCTACTCACGAAGATGGTTGGAAACTAGAAATACAACGTAAGATAATTACAGAATTTAAAGCTACAATACATTGTTTCCCATGTATGTGTTTGAATGGATTATTACCATTATTTTTTCAAGTCACGGTACTTAGTATGACTGAAATTATTCATAAAATGCTTGTAACGACTCTTAATTTTAATATAACGTGATGTAATTTAGTACTAATATAACAATTTTTTTTTTTTCATTACACTAAGAAGTTTTTAAATGATAAAATATTTTACAGATTTGCCTGTGGTCAAATTGGAATTAGGTGCTAACTTAGACGCAGATAAAGTGATAGAAGGTTCTGATGTGTATTTAGATTGTATGGTCCGAGCAAATCCGTGGCACAGTCATGTGTATTTCACTCATAATGTAAGTATACATTAATTACACGGAATTTTATTTGGCGTATTTCTGTTTTTATTTAACTTAATCAGTAATTTTTACATTTCGCTGATATTGGATACTGGTTTTAATTTATTTTACAGCATAAAATATATTAAGGGAATATTTATTTGTAATATTTATAAATATATTTATTAAAAAATAATCACGGTTTTTATATGCATATTTCATATATTTTAATGTCATATATTTAAATCTATCTAGCGATCTATGCAATCTAATATAACTTTATGTCTATAAAATAAATTAAAAAGAATTTTAAATGTTTTAGAACCTTTATACCAAACTATAATTAATTTTTACTTTATTTATTACTTAAATTAACTTTTTAAACAATTTCCTATGTTTTTTCAATTATAAGAGACTGATATTAATACAAAGAAAAAAGTATTATAAGTATTTAGAACCCCACTATTTTTAAATTGTAAAAAAATTATTTCAATGTTAAAATCTCTTTTTGGTAATACTTAAAAATTAAAATAATTTAAGAAGTATTCTATTATAAATGGAATTTTGTAATTAGATTAAAAGTGCTCTCAAATAAAGCATGTAAATAAGCTGATATTTTTAAACTCTATTAGATCTTATAAATACTCAGGTAATATTTTTGTAGGGTGCAATAATAAAACCCGGTCCAGGAGTTGTTTTAGCCAATCAAAGCCTAGTTCTTCAGCGTATGTCAAGAAAAGCCACGGGTGGTTATGTTTGTGTCGCAAGAAATTCCCTTGGAGAAGGTTACAGTGACCCATTGGTTTTGGAAGTGAAATGTAAGTCACTCAATTTTAATATAAGTGACACATTCACTTATTTTAGAACACAATATGATGTAGATAACTATGAATATTTGTTAGTAAAATTATATTAGAAATTAACGCTAATAATATCAGTATACATTTTTGCAAATCAACTGAGATGCAGATCAAATGCAAAGCTTGTAATGAGCAAGACACGGTGTGAAGAAAAGAAAAAATATTTTGTTATAAACTTATTTTTTGTAATTTTTTCACCAAAAATATTATTTGTTCTTATCAGTCTTAGGTTCATATAAATTAAACATATTTTGTAAGTTTCCAATAAAATTTGCAACCCAAATATTTTTTCTCATTATCGCTTTCAAAATCGATAAATCGTAAGTATCTATGAGATCTTGAAATGAAGGATTTTTTACTTTAATCTCCACAATAGATGCTCCTACATGTAAGTCTCATCAAGCCACTATCATCAGAGCAGCCCGTAGTGAAGTCGTCGATATTATGTGTGAAATTGACGCCAATCCTATGGTACGTATTATTACGAGTACTATAACACAAAAAATCACGTGAGTACGGTCGCTACAAAGTAACCGAAACGTCGGGAGTATGTACTTAAAATAATAAAATACTCGTAGTAACCCGAATAATATGTTAAGTTTTAATTAAATGAATAGTCCGTGGCGGCCTAGTGGGTTAAAGGCCCGTCTCTCGTGCCCAAATGCGCGGGTTCAATCCTGGCAAGTACCAATGTTGAATGTATATTTCAGTCATATGTACTTTCTAAGAGTATTTGGACACCACTGACAGACGGTGAAGGAAAACATCATGAGGAAACCTGGACTTAATAATTTCACAATTATAAGTTTAAAATCACCAACCCGATTAATGCTCAAACCTTCTCCATGTGAGAAAGAGGTCTTTGCTCGGCAGTGGGCTCTGATAGGCTGATGACGATTTAAATGAATACTAGCGAAAGTATTAGATCTTATTATACAAAATATGAGTAATATAATTTTGCGATAATAATTATAAGTGAATTCCCGAATGCGTATTTTTGTATTGTACGTAACAATTTTAGTATTGCACTGAATAAATTATATTTGTTACTAGTTTTTGCCCGCGACTTCGTCCGCGTTAATTTCATCATTAGTAATATATGTATAGCTGACCGGGCGAACTCTATTCCGTCCTAGAGGCCATAAATAATCAGGTTTTTCCTGTTTCAATCAAACAGAATGATTGACATATTAGTTAGTTGTCAAATCTAATGTCAAAGAAAACATTTGTATGGGAAATAGAAAAGGGCTGTTTTTATGGCTTTCCCAGTAATAAATCAATTTTTTCAGCTTTTATACCTTCCCTGAACCTCCATGAACATTTCAAGACTAAGATAAGATAAATCCGTTCAGCTGTTCTCGAGTTTTAGCGAGACTAAGGAACAGCAATCCATTTTTATATATATAGAAGATTATAGAAATATGAAAGCATTGACATTATTTTAATATAATCGAAAATAAATATCGGATTGTAAAATGTTTTTCCATAAACATTAATTTGTGAATATTTTATTTTTTATCGTTCCGTTAGGAGAAAAAAAATACTTTTGGCGTTTTGTTAAAATATTCATTCGTTGTAGATTGAGTTTGAATAAACAGTCCTTTGAAAGAAAATATATATTTTAACATTATCTCAGAAGTTTTTGTAATATTTTGTTCGCATAAAACGTATTCAGAGAAATCGTTTATTTATATATTGTGTCGTGGGATTTGTTTCGAGGACTTTTTAACGTGAATGAAATAAACTGAATGTTTACTTTTAAGCCACTGTAGATAAAAAGAGATTTACATTTTAGTATTTAATATTCAATTACAGATTTTCATGAACGAATTTCTCTTTAGTTAAGAAAATAATGAAACAAATAGTAGATACATAAATACATAATCTAATATATCTATCTATAATCTATCTAATAATGTAGATACATAAATAAATATCTAATTAAAAATAAATTAGAAAGAGCATTTTCAAAACGATGTCGAGTGTCATTTCATTAAAAGAGACATGATTATTCGATTGAAAATGAGACTGATTTTTCGATATTTATTCAAAATAAGCTGAAAAAAATAATATTTCTAATCAAATAAATTACAGAGTATTTGTAACATCAAAAGGAAAGTTTTCACCAAATTTCGTGACGAAATATTGTTTTTTGTAAGAGATAAAAATAAAAAACCAAAAACTCGGTTTTTCGAATTTTTCACTTAAATTTTTAGGTTATGTGAAAAAAAAAGTAAGTATAAAAGTTTTAGGTCTTTTTATTACCTACAACTTTGCCATATAACATTTTTTCCTAGGACTTTTAGTTTTGCCGGAAATCGAGAAAACCCATTTTTACCCTTAAATACCCATCCCCGTACCCTTCCCGACCTCAGATCGCCTGTAAATTATTTTTCCTTTATTTTTTATAATATTCCCTTCCTTTTCTAATGAGTTTCATTCTTCTATAATTCAATTGTTTTAAAAGCTATCGGCACTGGTCTACTAATTACTTATTTGAGAAGTAAATATTAAAAAAGGAAAATATGTATACAAATATATATATATATATATATACAGGGTGACTGGTGAATTACTATCAATATTTAAGGAGCATACTCGATACATGATTCTCATTCGAATTATGTAAAAAAAAATAGGTACTTAATTTTTGACCAAATTTCCGTATAAATAAATAAAGGGTGGACACGTTCCAAGTGTTCCAAGTGTGGACGCGTGCGGCGGCGTGCTGATACAACACTACGCCGCCGCCGCGTCTGTGTGAGTGTGTGTGTATACCTAATCTGTAGGGTGTTCATACGATGCGTAATTAATTACATAACTTTTGGTTAACTTTACTTAGAAGTTTATTAATATTTATGTTATATTAATTTTTATTTTGTCATATATGATCGTCAAATATCACGTCCTCAAATATCGATAGTAATTCACCAGTCACCCTGTATATATATATATATATACATATACATATATATGTATATATCGGGTTTTTCTTATATATATAAAAAACAAATGATTTTAATTCATAAACCAGTACTGGTGAGTGCAAAATTATTTTTATTATTAATTAATTATTAATATAAAAACATAAAACTAAAGATTATAAATATTTATTCTGATGTTATTAAAACTACGCAAATTTATTTAAAAATTTAAATCTTTTATTACAGACTTCATAACGATATTAAAAACCTTTTCTAATAAAGGTCTTTTAAAATGTTGTCTTGCAGTTTTTAATATTAGTTTTGCCTTCATTATTATACATAGTTACTTCAAAGCTATTTTTATTATTCTTTAGTTTGTTACAATTTAATATAGGATATAAATCATTAATTTTATTATTCAAGCAGATTAAAGTCGTAAAATCTTTAAAACTTTCTCCGTGTAAATGGGGCCTTATTTCTAAACTTGGTAAAATTTTGGTATATCCACCTACGAGTACATACATACGTCCACACGTAAAATAACAAGCTTTCTTTTCAAGAAATGTTTCCTTCTTTTTCTCTTAAAATATATTCTTAAATCTCTTCTATAATTTTGGAAGATAAACATTGCATATACAATGATAATAGGTTTTTTATAAGACGACAATTTATCTATATATCTAAATATAAATAAAAGAAAGTCGTGTTAGTTACCCCACTTATAACTCAAGAACGGCTGAACCGATTTAGCTAAAAATTGGCAGGGAGGTAGTTTAGAACCAGGAAATTGCAATAGTATACTTTTTATCCCGTTCGACAGTATTCCCGTGGGACTTGACATGAAACGACAGTCACTATAAAACGTGAAATAAGGAAACACAATTGACAGATATGTAATGACGTAATGATGACAATTAAATATTTGTAAGAGATCTACTATATAAAAATAAGTCCGGTTTTCCATCCTGAGGCTGTAACTTGGAAAGGTCTCGGGCTCCGTGAGGTTTATAACAAAAAATTTCAACAGAAAAGCGGGAATATCTTTTTTCACATACAGCGCCATCATACATAACATGTACTACAAATCCATATTTTAAGTAAATGGTGCCGGTGCATGATACATTGTTTGACAGCATTCATTGTTCTTTGATCAGTTAATTTCATGTGACAAACGGGTATTGTGTTTGTAGTTTGAACTCTTAAAACCATTTAGTATTTGCGGGATAAATTTAGAAAATCATTGTTTTTCACATGGACGTTATATTTTGCGTGTTCATGAGTTTGGAAACCATCCGCTTCATTTGTGTTGAAGTTAGACCAATAAAGAAAAAATGTGGTTTACAAAGGACCACTTCAATGAAACGGATAATTTTCGGACACGTATAACGCTTCGATTCGGTATCTACTTTGGATTCACTTTAAGTAAATGTGCTTAGAGAAGTTCAACTAAGTAACACTTCATTTTTGTAATCGAAATGAATTCATTAGTTGTGAAATAAATTAAAAAAATTCTTTTCAAATATAAAACAAAAAAAAATCTTCATCTTTTAATCACCAAACGAAATGTTATATAGAAGCCTTCTTGTGGCGAAACGGAGTTCGCCGGGTTTACTTGTATTAGATATAAATCATAATATCAATGGCGCAGACCTTTCGTTGCCGGCAGTGGTCCAGGCCATGGTCGGCAGCGAGAGGGCATGGCAGGCGGTGGTCGACTTCAGCGAGAGAGTCATCTTGCAGAAGGAGGCTGCTGAACGAGTGAGGGAAGACGACCCCTCCTCGGCGCCGCTGCGCCGACGAAGGCTGGGTCGAAGGCAGCGGGCTTATGCTCGCGACCTGCCTCCCCAGTGAGGAAGCCTCCGGGCGTCGGTGGGGAACCGGCGTCCGGGTAACATAGACTAGAGGAAGAGCGGCGTGTTTGGCGTTCCCGGCACGCTGCTCTTGAGTCGGAGGGGTGGTGTGGTCAGCCACTGATACCCCTGCCGATGGCGGAGTCCCTTTCGGGACTCGTGCGTAGTGAGCGGAAGTATGGCTTGCCGTTCCCGCTCACTAGTCTACGCACAGCGCAGAGAACGCTGAGGAGTTTAGTGGGTGGAAATCCCACACGCCCCCGCCGTGTTTTTCCCCGCGGCGGGAAGTCTTTGAAAGATTCTCCTCGTTAAAAAAAAAATCATAATATCAAAATGTTGACATTCACATCTCGTCTGTCACGGTGGCTGAAAAGTAGCCGAAACGTCGAGAGTACGTAGTTTTTTTTTACAAAAATAAAGTCGCGTAGTATCCAAAAAATATTGGTTTCATTTAAATGAAAAAAACTTGAGAAAATCTTAGATCTCATTAAAGATATAGTTTCTGTTCACAGGAACCGATGACATATCAGTGGTGGTTTAATAGCAGTACGCAAACTAAATTAGAACTCAATACATTTTCAACAAATTCACAGAATAATCTTGGTAAGTCTTAGTCGTAAATACGAAATTAGTCAAATAAATTCCTATATTTACTTATATTTCATTTAATAAGCAATTCATATACAAAAATTAAATAAGTAATTTAATTCTGTATATTATGTAAAAATAACTTTTAATGCATATCTAAACAACACATTTAAACATTTATAAATGTTTTGTTAAAACATTATTTAGGATTAATTGGCAAAGTAATTTGATTGAAACAAAAACTATTTTCGTAAAGTAATAAATTTTGAAACTTAATATAGCCAACTTATGATACAGTAAATTTAATTCTATATCTATTTTAAGGTTATATTTATCTTATAAATGTATATATCTCCACAGGTAGGTATTTGTATACAGTAAACACTTCATCTGACTACGGCTGGGTTCAATGCACTGGTACGAATTCTGTAGGAAGACAGAACACTCCTTGCCTGTTTCACACACTACCCGCTGGTAAATATAGATTTTTTTTAATACTATATTTTACTGTGACTCCACTTGCGTCGATTTCGGCTAGGTATTTTCTTGACAGTAACATTTTTTGAAGGAAATCGGATCAAGGGTTGAAGGCTTCACCAACTGTTCATCTAAAATAATCACACTGAGTATAGCAAACACCTAAAAATTAAATTCTTTTTTATGTATATTTAAAGAAAATTTTCTATCACAAATCTAAGTTATTTTTTTAATCACATCATAATGGCCCAATCTTTCGCTGTCCAATATTTTTCTTTGGGAACCCTTTTCATGCTTATTTTCTTAAAGAATTTTTACATTATAGCATGCAATATTTTAATCCAAATTTAAGAAGGGTTTATGTTTTTGTTCATTATACATATAATATACCTAAGTTACCTTTTATTCTTATTCATATTGTTAGACAAAAAACATTTCATATTTAAAATCGTATAATCAGATTATTCGGTTTGAATAAAGAGGCTACAATTTCCTTAAGAGCTTAGTAATTATCTTAAAAAGAGATAATAAAATTCTTGAATAAAATCCGCTCGACTTATTTTTCTGAGATGCTGTACGAAATCTAATTAAGATCTTTCCTCCCGTGCAGTTTGTCTCACAGTTGGACACCAATTAAGTGTATCTTAAGTTTTACACCAAGATACACGTTTACTACTTTTTATGTTAAAATTCACTCGTTTAAATAAAACTGTCTCCGTAGACTTAATTATTCGTTTTTATGTTAATTTGTATTTAAAAACTTAACAGAATTTATGTATCGCTAAGTTTAGTACCTTAAATATCATTCTTAAAATAAATAACTTTCCTTTAAGTTTAATTTTTGAAACGAAAATTTATATCAAAGTTCTTTATAATTAAAAAACATCGATCCTATTTCATCAAACGAGTGACATTATTACCTAATAAAAATTATGCTTAAGGAATTTTCTTCTTTATAACAATTTTCTTCTATAGAAAAACCTTCATCGGTGAAAAACTGTGAAATTACCAACATGACGTATGACTCTCTAACGCTTGGATGTTCACCGGGACACGACGGAGGCATGAAACAATCGTTTCTATTACAAGTGAGAATTAATTTTAATATATAATTCAATAAATACAAACAAAAACTCCATATTAAAGACTCTATTACTTTTCCAATAAAATATACAATCATACAAGCTTACATAAATGATGACTGAGTATCAATATCTAAGACAAAAAATTAAGCAATGCTTAGTAATACTTAAGCAAAAAAAATGAAGCAATGCTTAATATTACTTGTATAATACACATAAACGTGTTTGTATATTCATAGGTATATGACATATCAACTGGTATTTTACTTCGTAATATAACAAGCGAGGAACCTCAATTCATAGTGTGGGGTCTATCGGGAAGTACAGCAGTTGGTATATCCGTTAGAGGCTTGAATAAGAAAGGCTTAAGCGAGCCCTTTACGCTTACTTCAAACTTATTAAAACATCCACAACGACATACAGGTCAGTATTTAATTTTAATTTTTGACTATCAATAATGTGATGTAAATTTCTATTATCTAGTAAACAATGTAACTTCACTCTTAAGACGAGTTTATTTCGTCAAACGACTCACATATATGTAGTATTTACTCATAAACTTACGTCAAAATTAGTGTTCTAAGTTTAATGAATAAAAAACTAGAATTTATTCGTATTTGACGGTTCAAACTCGTATTACTACGAATATACATAGAAGACAATAGACCAGTAAGCATAGCTTCAAGTGTATTATTATTACATATACAAGTTAAAATCTGTGAGTTATATGAAAATTTATACTTGAATGGATGGAAAAAAATATTATTTATAGACCATTAAAGGGTCGAAGTGACCTCGTGGGTACGAGACGGTTTTACAACACCCTCAGCGATAAACGGGTTATCGTTACATGTAATGCGAGCGTTACTTTGATTTATTCAAGTTATCTCAGCCGTTAGAACGATTAGTATGTTAATTTTATTAACAGGTAAATTTGCTGTGCAATAATTTTATATTTACATCCGAATTGATTTTCGTTACATTTGTAAGTTTTTTATTAAAAAATATGTGTATTTTTTATGGATGTTTCTAAAAGAATTTCTAGGAATCGGATAAAAAGCTATTTAAGTATTTAATTTGCTTCGTTGTAATTTGAAAATAAAATTAAAGTAATAATGACGTTTCAAATCAAATACATGAAAAAAATTGCATATTGTCCTTTTATATTTATATTATTTAGAGATATTAGAAAATTTATAAAACTAGGTCTTTAAAACCTCCCCTTAGTATCCAAGGATTTAAATTACATAGTCCACATTTTTATCTGCATTATTATGTTAATGTAGGATAAACATATCCAGTATACTGGTGAAATATTTTTCATATGGTTTCATTCTGTTTTGATTAAAATATTACTATGAAATCAACTTGTTTTATTTTTGTACGTAAGCTTATATTATACTATGGCAAAAAAAATATGTCCGTATATTCATACTTACACCAACATTGTTTGTAATAATGAAGTAAATATCTCTATCACCCAAACGCTACGACTTGTGAGGGTCTTATTAGTTCACAACTATATTATTAGTTAAGTTTTAAAGCAGTCTGTTTGTTAATTCGCTTCTAGCCAACGTCCCGGTTCGTGTGGACCTAACAACTGTATTGGTGAGCGTGCTAGTGGCTGTCGCTGTTATAGCAATACTTACAGCAATATCTGCTGTCATTTTATGTTGGAAATACTGTAATAAAGATGGTGAGTTGTATTTAGTTTGGTTGTAAGTTTCAGTTGTTTTTTGGTTATTGTATTATTAATATTAAAAAGTACCTCTTTTTTTATTGTGTTTTATAGTGAGGATAGGATTAAAAAAATAGAGAATAAAATTTGAAGGTTGTTTCATAAAATACGTACATATATTACATTTTCAACGTATTTTAGTTAGATTTTTATTGAAAACTAGTTTTTGCCCGCGACTTCGTCCGCGTTAGTTTGGTCAAGAGTAATATATGTAGGTATAGCTGACCAGGCCAACTCTATTCCGTCTTAGAGGCCATAAATACTCAGGTTTTTCCTGTTTCAATCAAACAGAATGATTGACATATTAGTTAGTTGTCAAATGTAATGTCAAAAAAACGTTTGTATGGGAAATAGAAAAGGGCTGTTTTCAGGGTTTTCCCGGCAATTATTCCAATTTTTCTCACCTTTTACACCTTGCCTGTACTTCCAGGAGTGTTTCAAGACTAAAATTAGCCAAATCGGTTCTACCGTTCTCGAGTTTTAGCGAGACTAAGGAACAGCAATCCATTTTTATATATATATGTAGAAGATAACATATAAATACTTTTTCTGTATTACTTTAACAGATGTTTCAATTCATCATTAATGAAATATTTAGGGATACATGTTCGATTTTATTGTATTTCATCAGATATATTTTGCATGAATTTAATCAAGATTCAATAAAATTAAAAAATCTGATTTAATAGAAATTTAAATTTACAGTAAATGAAATACTTAAATTATATTTTCAACATAGATAGATAACTTAGTTTATACAAGTTAATTTAAATTACATTAATTAATTATTGTCTTAATTTTTTATGTGCAGTCAAAAATGAGAAAATAAATCGAAAACAGGATGAGATATCAAATATACCATTAACCGGTACTAACGAGTGTGAGAGCGTTGATAGCTTGGGTACGTATAAAGAAACCGTTAGAATTTCCATACATTTCATATACTATAATATAAGCATTATAATTTCCATAGATAAAAACCCAGACATAATACCGATCAAAGGAAAAATAAGCGATAACTGTTCAAACAAATCCTCCGCGACCGATTATTATAGTTCTATTAGACCGTTGTTATCAAAATCGGACGACAAATACGATCATAATCCGACCGATCGGCATTACGATCACGGCGATCCGTGTAGCCAATATGTTCAAGTCCGACCATTAGACTTCCGAGTACACCAATATCAGCATGGCTTACAAATGGCCAACGTGGGCCAACCTGTGCCAGGGATTGGAATGCATATGAGAAATATTGGACCAAACGAATGCCGGCCTTACGATAAGGTTTACGAGAATTGGCTGAAATACAAGAATTCGTTACCGCTAAATACTAGCGGCTTGGTAAGTTATAATCTATATTTTTTTGTTCGGAACTTTGTTAATTATCTCGAATGTTTTTAAGTATCTTATTTATGAATATTTAAATGATGATTGGATTTAGTCCTTTTATATTATTTATATTTTGTATTTCAAATGTTTCAATTTACGTTTAATATAACATTTAGTCCAGGATAAGTTAAAAACATTTAGTCCATCAAAAATAATTGCTTGTAACTTAAGAATAATAGATTTTTAACAGAATTTTTCAAAATCATTCATTTAATATTGGGATTTCATCACAATAAACGAACGACACTTTTTTTTTGTAATATTGATATATTTTATACAACATAACATGCCCACACACACACACACGCATTCTCATACACGCACACATATGCATAACATTCATGATACACAAACGTACTTACAGATATCTACATACTAGCTGCGCCCCGCGGTATTACCCGCGGATTTCCGGGATGTAAAGTAGCCTTTATGTACCTGGACGTCAGCTTCCTGTATACAAAATTTTATCAAAATCGATTCAGCCGTTTGAGCGTGAAGAAGTAACAAACATACACACACACTCACAAACTATCGCAATTATAATATTAGTATGATATATACATATGTATAATCTTTTAAGCTGCCAGTTGAACAGCTGATGCCACCGGAACTCTACACTCCATCGATATACACAACCTCGAGCCGGAACCCTCTCAACCTGTCTCAGACGCCGGGACTAGAGCCTTCCTGTGACAGAAGGTCACCCCCAGTGAGGGTAAACGCGGAAAATAACAGCGCCTACTATAATGTTGACAGACATACACACACATTGCCTTTAAGACGACCTGGTAAGTCATACGAGTAGACCTTGGTCATATAACTATGTTATATATATACAGCTATTTAATGACGAATAGATTGTTAAAAACAGTGGTGGGTTCATTGAGATGTAATTATATCAGGACTGATATTCCATTGTAAGAACGGAGCAATCTTAGTTATATGCTTTATTTACAAAATTGCCAACTTCTATTGAAATGGACTATATATGCTTAAAGAAAAATTCTCAGTGTGATACCTTTCTGTCTGTGTGATGGAAATGTTTATATATTATTTTAAGATATAATCATCCTTCATAAAAATAACCTATAAGTAAGACGTGATTAAATATGAGTATTAATCTTATACATATTTGGTCAGGCGAGATTGACCTTTTGACCCCGTTTCACCAATCAATGTTTATTAAATCTAAACAAGGCATTTTCTAACAAACCTTCAAAACTATAAATGTCTGTTAAAATATTTAAATTATTAAACGTCATGTTAAATGACCGACTACCAATTTATTCGTTCTTGTTATAAGATGAGCAAATGGAAAATATAGCGTTTAATACGGCACGTTTGCCACGCTTTATATGTATATACTTTGATCGTATATATTCCTCGATACGTCACTTGCTAGCTAATGCGACCAAATTTTATATATAGTTGATTGCATACATTTGGCACACAAAAAGCTTTCTTTTCAATTTACTAGGTATAACTTGTCAAAATCGTGCTGTCAATAAATTGTATTTTTTTTTTTTTCTACGAAGGGAATCTTTTAAAGACTTCCTGCCGCGGGGGAAACGCGACAGGGGCATGTGGGATTTCCACCCACTAAACCACCTCGACGTTCTCTGCGCTGTGCGTAGGCTAGTGAGCGGGAACGGCAAGCCATACTTCCGCTCACTACGCACGAGTCCCAAAAGGGACTCCGCCTTCGGCAGGGGTATCAGTGGCTGACCACACCACCCCTCCGACTCAAGAGCAGCGTGCCGGGAACGCCAAACACGCCGCTCTTCCTCTAGCCTATGTTACCCGGACGCCGGTTCCCCACCGACGCCCGGAGGCTTCCTCACTGGGGAGGCAGGTCGCGAGCATAAGCCCGCTGCCTTCGACCCAGCCTTCGTCGGCGCAGCGGCGCCGAGGAGGGGTCGTCTTCCCTCACTCGTTCAGCAGCCTCCTTCTGCAAGATGACTCTCTCGCTGAAGTCGGCCACCGCCTGCCATGCCCTCTCGCTGCCGACCATGGCCTGGACCACTACCGGCAACGAAAGGTCTGCGCCAACCACGCGGATGAGTTGGCTACGCTCGGATATCCACGCTGGACATTCCATCAAGGTGTGGTCAGCGGTGTCTTCCACGCGACTGCAGTGGTGACACGTCGCTGTCGGCTCTCTCCCGACTATGTGGCACAAATACCTCCCGAAGCAACCGTGCCCCGAGAGGATCTGCACCAGCCGGAAGGTCAAGGATCCGTGTCGGCGGTCCACCCACTCCATGAGGAGCGGGCGAATAGCCTCCACGGTTCGCAACCCGGCCGCTGGCTCAGAGAGCCTTTGCCTCCACCGATGGAACAAGGACGACCGCGCAGATCGTCGCCAACTATCCACCCGATCCCGGTCCGGACTCGTTCCCCGGGATCGATCTCGCGCGCGCTGGTGGTAAACCTCCGCCAGAACCTGGGCATCCAGTTCCCAGGGAGGCGTCCCAGCCAGCACGCAAGCCGCCTCATGAGAGACAGTGCGGTATGCTCGTACCACCCTCACCGCCATGACGCGCTGCACTCTGTGCAGCGCAGCCACGTTCGGCCTTGTGAGGGCACCGACCCACACTGGAGCTCCGTACAGCGCCATTGAGCGTAACACACCGGTGTATAAACGCCGGCATGCCACACTCGGACCGCCGAGATTGGGGAGAAGCCTCCCGAGAGCATTCGCCGTCCCGAGGAGTTTCGGGACTAACCCGCGAAAGTGCTCCCGGAAGTTCCACCTTCCGTCCAGAGTCGGCCCCAGATATTTCATCCGGGGACTGAGCTCGACGCGGACGCCGCGGATGGTGATGCAGGCGCCCGTCGGAGGTCCTGCTCGAGGGCGGTGGAACAGGAGGGCCTCGGTTTTGTCGAGACCCACCCTCAGCCCGAGCATCTCGATGCGCCGTACTACTAAGGCGGCTCCCGCCTCGGCACGCGCCTTCGCCTCTGCTAGGTCATCGCCTCGGGCTACAACGAGCGTGTCGTCCGCATAGCAGACAACGCTCAGCCCGGTTGGGAGGGCACCGCGGAGCACGAAATCGTACCCAAGGTTCCACAGGAGAGGCCCAAGGACCGCTGCGGAACACCGCAGCGCACCTCGTGACGATGCAACCTACCGTCGCTCCCCACGAACGAGATCTCCCGTCCGCGGAGGTCAATAAATTGTATTATATATGTACTAGTAAACCCGGCGAACTCCGTTTCGCCACAAGAAGGCTTTTATATAACATTTTGTTTGGTGATTAAAAGATGAAGAATTTTTTTGTTTTATATTTGAAAAGGAAAAATTTTATTTTTATTTCACAACAGTAATGAATTAATTTCGATTACAAAAATGAAGTGTTATTTAGTTGAACTTCTCTAAGTAAATGAAAGTGAATCCAAAGTAGATACCGAATCGAAGCGTTATACGTGACCACAAATTATTCGTTTCATTGAAGTGGTCCTTTGTAAAACACTTTTTTTTTGTCTAACTTTAACACAAATAAGGCGGATGGTTTCCAAACTCGTGAACACGCAAAATATAACGCCCATGTGAAAAACAATGTTTTCTAAATTTATCCCGCAAATACTAAATGGTTTTAAGAGTTCAAACTACAAACACAATACCGGTTTGTCACATGAAATTAACTGAGCAGAGAACAATGAGTAGCTGTCAACCAATGTATCATGCACCGGCACCATTTACTTAAAATATTGATTTGTAGTACATGTCATGTATGATGGCGCTGTATGTGAAAAAAGATTTTCCCGCTTTTCTTTTGAAATTTTTTGTTATAAACCTCACGGAGCCCGAGACCTTTCCAACAAATGCAAAACCGTGGAAATTAGTTCTTTCTGAAGTTATAGCGTCAGGATGGAAAACCGGACTTATTTTTATATAGTAGATCTCTTACAAATATCTAATTGTCATCATTACGTCATTACATATCTGTCATTCTACGTCAATTGCATAGCTGTCAATTGTGTTTTGTTATTCCACGTTTTATAGTGACTGACGTTTCACGTCAAGTCCCACGGGAATGCTGTTGAACGGGATAAAAGTATCCTAATGCAATTTCCTGGCTCTAAACTACCTCTCTGCCAATTTTCAGCTAAATCGGTTCAGCCGTTCTTGAGTTATAAGTGTGTTATAAATATAAGCATAAATTGTGTTCAAATTATAAGAGATATGAAGAAAATTTAATTTGCAATGTTATAAAAAAGCTGGAGGCAAAATCATCATAGGAAATTGAATTTTAATTCACTTTATCAATAAGTACAAGGAAATAGTTGAAACTGACAAAACAGATGACGTTACTATGGTTACAAGAAATTAGGGCTGTGATTGGATAATTGAGTTTTGACAATGCCATTAACATTCTGTTAGCCATAAGACGGAGCTCCAGAGCAGGAATTGATATTAGTGGCTGGTTAAGACATTTAAACGGACATTTGTGCGTGGTGGGACGCTCGATACATCTAACAGAGCATCAAACGTCTTAACACGATGTTACTTATTTAACATTGATTGGTGAAACTGGGTCTAAGACTAGACATTGTCCACGGATCGTTAATGAGTACTGGTCACTTATTTAACGCGTATTAAAACGTGTAAAAGAAAGTTTGAGTAATAAGACGCGATCATATCATAATTTTGTGAAAATGATCTGAAACTATAAAAATAATATTCGTTATGTAATCTCCGACCCAAAAAGCGGGGTGTTATAAGATTGATGTATGTAGATGCTGCGTGTGTGTCTGTATGTGGAATGGTAGCTCTCAAAGGGATGATCCAATTTCGATGTTTTTTTAAATCTGAAAGCCAATTACTTTGCAGTAGTTCTTATCTATGTTTGGCTAATATCGATCAAACGTAGGAGCATTTTTTCAAAATGATGCAACTTATTTTTGTCCTATGATTACGTGATCTTGAAATGACAATTGATGTGTGTTCTATTTTTTATTTAATGAATTTTTCAGTTATTTATATTTTGGCAACTATTTTATTAGGTTTATATAAAACTTTAAATCCTGTTTCCCATATCTAATTCCAGAAAATGAAATTACCACGCAGCTTGATACTGAGTGATTCATGGCGATTCATACTACGAGTACAAGACTTTGCTGTTTTGCTCCGATACGTTTTTCATCAAATGGAACTGGTTGCTACTTTCCACGTTCTTTCAAAATTTTTAATATCATCGCCGTTACAATAATTGGTTAGTTAATACTGTTATTAAAATATTTTTCAAGTCACAAAATGAATCCTTGGTGGTGTTTAGTATGATCATTGGAAACCTGTTCTTATTCAAAGGATACTGCATACATATAGTATGTATAGTCACATTATTTTTAGTAAAGACGAGTATTATATTATGCACACATACATATAATAGTATGAGGCAATGTATTTTAAAAATGAAATGATAAAATCTTTGAACATCTGTAACGATCAGTAAAGCATAATAAATATTTGTAATAGAATAAATTATTTTATTTAAATGCTGCATATTTAAGGCTAAAAACAAAAACAAAAACATATTATTGATACATAAAAAATATTTCAATAAAACACTACAAGGACATTAAACCATATACGAATACTTTCATGTGTAATTGAAACTTTGGAAATAATATACAAATAAGGAATTATACCACTATAAATGGTCTATTTTATCTTATTTATTAATTTTCAAAATATAATATTAATTTGTTTTTTACATTTTTAGGACTGTTTCTGTCATACAGGGTTTACTATTTCCTAACAATTAGCACGGACAGTGTTTACCAAAGAATATTCTTATTTTATAGAGTTCAAACAATGTTAAATATGACAATATTTCTTTATGGATCTTTAAAGAATGAAGTGGGGATTAAAAACTATCTGATGTATGAAAGTAAAATATATAAGGTATGGTATTTACTTTTAAGAATTGTTAAATGACTATCAATTAATATTACAAAAATCATTTTAGGCTATAAGATGCTTACACACTGGTAAAGAAATGCCAAAATCAGGTACGCGTGACGTCATATCAATGATGTTTTTTGTCATTGAACTACCGGTCCTCATGATCATGGATTGCATAGTCTATTCATACGTAAGTATTATAAGAAAAACTTAAATATTTACAATGAGATCTAAGACTTCGCCCCCTTTAGCATAAAAAGGTCTATTGCTTAATCCATGTACAATATTGACATTTTTATTTTAGAAAGATGGCAATTTCATCTGGACTCATGTTTTTGAGGCATTCTCGCAATGTTTGATGATGTTCCCGTTAATGAGATTTTTGTTATAATTTGTAACCATTTATTATGGCATCATTATTCAATTTACACTGACTGACTGACAGTGGATTGTTAGTTTTTACTTGATCGTTATATTTCAAACAAACAATTTATATATACATATTATTAAGTATTGTATTGTTCATTTCATGGATTCCTTAAAATTAGCATCAAAAGAATTTACGTTCACTAAAAACGTAATTTCTGTTTCAGGGATTTAAATATAACTTTGGAATCAATCAATGCTACCATTGATAGGAACGGGGCAGTCGATAACACACCTCAGTGTACGTTAATACGAATATTGTCTCATTAATACATAATTAAGTTTTATGTTATACTAGTAAACCCGGCGAACTCCGTTTCGCCACAAGAAGGCTTTTATATAACATTTAGTTTGGTGATTAAAAGATGAAGAATTTTTTGTTTTATATTTGAAAAGGAAAATTTTTATTTCATTTCACAACAGTAATGAATTCATTTCGATTACAAAAATGAAGTATTATTTAGTTGAACTTCTCTAAGTAAATGAAAGTGAATCCAAAGTAGATACCGAATCGGAGCCTTATACGTGTCCGCATATTATCCGTTTCATTGAAGTACTCCTTTGTAAACCACATTTTTTGTTTTTTGGTCTAACTTTAACACAAATAAAGAGTATGGTTTCCAAACTCGTGAACACGCAAAATATAACTGCCCATGTGAAAAACAATGATTTTCTAAATTTATCCCGCAAATACTAAATGGTTTACTTAGAAGACAAGTTTTTTTCATATTTTCGGTTAAGATTTTTTATTGTATATATACTATTTATTTCCATAAATTGTTGAATCTTTATTAATATGTCATTCTTCATAATTTGTTTGAATTTTAATTAAACTTATGAAGTAAAAATAATAATTTAGGAATACCAAAATATATTTTTACACGTACTTAGCTAAAATTACAGATGATTTTTCACCGGACATCAAACCCGCCCTACAGTGTACATGGTTTTTGTATCACACGGTACAAGTAATGATGTTAGTTGAACCTTTTTATTCGATTAAAAAAATGGTAAATACTTTATTTTTAATAAGTTCGTGTAGCGATAAATTTAAATTTTCAAATGTAGAATAAAAAGTGAGTGGAGTCGTTACTGGAGGAAGAAGTGAAACTTCGTAATTATAAACAGTTTATAAAATTATGAAATTATATGTGTATCAAATCAATCAAAAAATTTATGAATATGATAAAAAAATGGACATAGAACACAGAACAAAAGTATGAATTTCAGCTAATTTCACCACGCTCACACTGTTTAATTCGCTGCATAGCAATAAAAGGTACATGTGCTTGGAATATAATTTTTTATACACGTATTAGTCTTTGTATATTAAAATAACGCATATTATGTGTTATGCCAAGATGATAGCATATATGCAGAGTTCACATTTTGTCAAGTGTCTTAAGTTGCCTATAGAAATCTTCAATATAAGAGTAATTGTGTATGTGGTCCCGCCCTAAATTTCTGCGAGAAATTTGTTTTTAAGCCATATAGCCCACATTATGAGCTTGGCGCTGTCATAAATATTTAATACTTTGAATATTCCTCGTTGTAGGACGACAAAATAAATTGAGTCAAAACAAGTTTAAATTCAGGACAACCGATTTTAATTCAAATTCTTTGTTAACTGTATCAAAATAAGTTGATGAAGCAAATTGAGTGACCTCGAAGTAAAGTTGAGAATAGTACTCCAAGCGGGGACAATTCTATACTTTGTAAAATAAGAACAAGTACAGTGATGTAAAGTGCTGCCTTGTCTTAATCTATTAGAA